TTCCAAAGGCCGGTTTTGTCCGCTCGGGTTTTTCCGGTATTTCTGTGGGTCCAAGGCGGGTTGTTGGTAGACGCCCAGTCGGCGTGCCCCGCGCTGGGTTTCTTTTCGTCTTATTAAGAAAACTGTGGGTGGGCGGATTGGTGTAAGCGGCATTGGGCCACAATTCCAGACATTTAGGGGGTTTGGATTAGAAAATAACATGGCCGTGGGGTTTCATTTGGCATATTCCTCGCATGCCAGGAACCCTGTAGATTTGTAGGAGGGTGTGGGGAGGGTGTGGTTTGGTGGGGTGTGTTAATGGGGGTCCCCTATGGAATTTGGGACCAAGTAATTCTCGGGAAATTCCCCGAAAATCCTGGGGTCGGTGGGTGGTTACAAAGTTGAAAATTTTCTTTTTTTTGGGGCCATGGCGTCCTGGGGAATTTTTGTGGTTTCCCGAAAAGGTAGATTGTTAAAAAAAAACGTGCCCAGCGGTTGGGGGGGGGGGGGGGGGCGTGGACGTTGGTGGGGCCGAAGAGGCCATTTGCATGTGTTCTAGTCTATGCATCGCCACGGGTTTCTCCGAGTTGTTCGGTTTTCTCGACGCTCTGTGATGAAGGCAACAGCCTGGACCCAAACCGGTAAAAAACATTTATCTATGTTCGCCCGAGGTGTCCACGGTTGGTTTCCTTCTAGTCTTCGGGGTTTGTAATTGCTCATTTTCTGGACGTGTGGAGGCAGCGAAACAGCTCGAAAGCTGAAAAGGAGCAAATGTTTTGGGGGTGTAAAAAATAGCAACCCTGCTCCTCTACTCCACAAATTATCAAGTGCATACAAGTGCAGGTTCACACGCTCTGCGGCCGACGTGAAACATATCCACAGGGTTCGTACTGAGAGAGGAGTAGGCTGATGCCACGGCTCCCATCTTTTCACTATAACGTCTGTTTGACAGCGGACAAGACAGGATTAGCTTCACCTTTGGCGCACAATCTTGTAGAACCCTTTGTCTCGCTCTCTTCTTGCTTTCTCTCGATCGGTGTATTTGTGTACACCGAGCTGTCGATGCGATGATGTGACAGCTAGCTGTTGTCGTGTATCGTGTACCCCGTTTGCCTGCGAGAGGCCGATTTCAAAACGCAAAAGGCGGTGGGGGGGGCACGCGCGAGAGAACATGCACCCCCCAGCAGTTTCCGTTCTTTGACAGTTCCGTGGTTCTTTCGTGCGGTGAATCATGGCATTTGCTGCTGCTGAACGCCACGATCCCTGCTGTAGGTAGTTAGCTCCGCGACCAACACGGATGTTACTGCATGAACGCAGTTCAGTTGCTGAGAAGAGTAGTACCAAGATGTTTTTGTAACGCACATGGCAAGTGTAACGAACGGCTTTCAGACGTACCGGGCGGTAATAGACTAATGGTAACGTTTTGAAGTGTGGTCGTTCTTCGGGAAGACATGTAGGCCATTAAAAAACTATGTCATGTAGAAGTTCCTTTCGAGACAGCGTCCTCCAAGGGGATGCGCCGAACATTTTTTGCATACGGTGAGGATTCTACTACACTCACTTACATTGCGTCCAGAAATAAATGTCGGCGTTGATTGAAGCCTTCCCTTGTACAGTATGCACCGTATTCTACACACACAGAGACAGAGAAACATTTCCAAAAAAAGTTTGCAACGACGACGAACATATCGGCGTGCAAGCAAAATCGTCTACCCTACTCACTATGCAGGAACACCCATGAAAATCACAAGGTAGGTCCGGAAAAATCCCACTACTACTTGAAAATGTTGTGACAGCTGTCTCTAGCGCCATAAGATCCAAAAACGATGTTGTAGCGTCTCTTCTTTTGGTTGAACACAAGAGGCCCCCAAAAGGTCAATTATATAAATAAATCAATAGAACCCACACTTGCTCAACTCGGATGCTGAGCCGAAGCAAAGCAATCTATAGGCGAAAGGACCACGTGGTGAAAAACACGGTTGGTAGTACGAACTAGTAGTAAAAAACGTGTCTCCTGCGCACCATTTTTTTGCCAAGCCGTGAGAGCGTCGACCGTCTTGGTTTTTCCTGCCGACCAGGCCAGACAGCCAGCCCCACCTCGCGGGACGTAGTGTATACATAGGGCTCTTGCCAACGAATGACTTCAACACCAACAAAACCCCCAAAGTGAGGCACCCACGAAAAGCAATACCAAAACGCCGGGTTACACCGTACGACCGCCGCCTGAACTACAACAAACCAAGCGGTAATGGACACACGTTGCCTCCAAAAATCCACATCACAGCAGTGCAGAGGGCAAATTCTTGATGAGCCCCTCCCCCCGTCTTTCCCAATATTGTTTTACCAAAGTTGCCACAGCAATCACTCCACACTCACTCACTCTCTGTTCAGCATGTGCATGTCTCACGTCCCCGAAGGATTAGGGTAACCTAGACGGCTACTTGTTTTGGAATAGGGTAACCAAGACACCATAGATGGCCCAAAACAGGAACACCGAAACAACTATCTATGGTTCGCATGGCATACAGCACGCAAGGGGCGATTGATTATAGCCCCCCACCCCGCCATGAATGGAGCTTAGAGACGACGCGTAACGACGAGATGGAAAAAGACACCAAGGTACAAGGCAAAAAACACCCAGCTTACGCCCAACCCAAGCCCTTGGGGACGCTTTTCGCGATTCCGGTCGCTGTTGGTTACGGCGACTAAAGGTCTTTGACGGTCGACATGACAACGCAGAAAATTGACAGGACAGTGGCGACAACAATAATACTACCGTCGTGCAAATAAAACGCAAAGCCCTCGGCTTTGCTCTAGGCCGACGGCGCAAACGACCCAAACTACTGTATACCATCACGTGGAACGAGACTTCAATGCCGCCGATGGCATCCACCTTGCATGTTAGCCTTCACAGGACGTCACCCCAACAAACAGGATCCTGGACAAGCGTACCCTACAATCTCGAAAATCACTTCAGTTCGACCTTGCACATGGGAACAATTCCAACGAGCACCACCCGGCGTAACAAAAAATGTTAGAGCATGGTGGGGGGGGGAATGGCACCAGAGATCCCGCATTGCGCATGCGACCCACATGGTCCCCTGATGGTGAACAAAAAAATCCGTCGACAATTGACGGTGAATCGAAACTCTTCGCAAAATCCGTCGAGATGATCGATCGGGCGGGCAGTCTGTCTCACCACTCACCCCCCACCCACGCCCTCCTATCGGACAGCAAATAGTTCATTATACATGCTTGTTCTCTGGTGAGGCGTCCTTGGGGTCAACCTACTGTAGGGTGAAGCTGCCCTCCGGCTTCAGGTCACGCCGGATACAAAACATGGGAGATCGCCACATAGGGTTCCCCTACCTTGAGCGGCTCCACCTTCACAGTGTGACGGCCTACCCCCACTGCCACATCTAGAAGAGCGCAGGATTGCACGTGAAGGCCGACTTGGACCAGCTCCACAGTAGTTTCCACTTGGATTCCATCGACGCTGAACCTGACCCCCGAGGTTTCGTTGAACTGGACGCGGTCGATGAAGTCCGGCTTGCAGACTGTCACCCGCGAGTCGAAGTCCGTGGCGTCCTCCGTCGGCCTCGTCTTTTCAGCGTCAATGCCGGCGCTATTGCTGAACTCTTCGTTTGCGCCGGCACTCTCCGGCGCGGGTTCTTCCCGCCCGGCACTACTACTAAACGTGTGAGCATCCTCTTCTTCTCCTTCTTCCACCTTTGCTCGCCGTCGCCTATGTCTCCCCGCCGGAGGGATCCCGAGAGTCTCGAACTCGAACTCGATGGGTCCCGCCGCCGCATCACCGACGAGAACCCACTTGTAATCGATCGGGTGGTGAAAACCCCTCGGAGGCGAAACCTTCAGGTAGTCCTTGATGCTCTGCGCTTCCTCGTTGAGCGTTACCGCCCAGTGCCCTTGGGAGGGCTCCACGAAGTACTCCGATCTGTTACGGTTCAGAACCACCGGGGTGTTCTCCGACACCATGTCCAACAGTCTCGACCCGTTCTTGCCCGCCAGCGGGGAGTACGTGTTGGCACACCTGTAGCTGCCGGCCCCCTGGCAGAACCTATAGCCTTTGCACCACGACGGAGGGGGGAGGATGTCCCCCCGCCCTCCGCCCATGAAAGCAGGATAGTTGTTGCTGCCGCTTTGGCTGTCTGCGGCGGTCGCTTCTCCATGAAGATCAGGACGGGCATCGGTCGCACCCCCACCATCCAAACCGAGGGACTCCCAGAGGTTCAGTCTGCCATTAGCAGAGAGAGCGTTTAGCTGTCGTAGGCCGGCGGCCGTGATGCCTGGCTTGACCCCGTTCAGCCGCTCGAGCGCACGCAGGAACACCTCGGCGTACGCCATAAAGAGCATGTCGGCGACAAGTAGGTGCCCGGTAGGTCCCGCGTGCCAGCTGAATAAAACGCATGGATTCATCATAGCGTCGCCGTCGGGCGACAAACAACAAGGGGTGGTCGCAGCACACGAGCGTGTGTTCGTGAGCGATGCGCCGGTCAAACACGCACAATGGCAGGAGGCGGGCGGAGGGGGGGGGGGGGGGTGTACATGGCAGGAGGCGGGGAAGGGGGTTTACCGGGAGTGCTCGCTTGCCTTGGGGTTCGGCGTTCATAGCCGCCGGGCCGAAAAAAGAGGGTATTTAAGACCCGTCCAAGAATGACTAAGATAACAACTATCTTCAACCAACTGTGGTGTTCTTCTTCGTGCGGGAACGGGTCAACAAACAGACGCCTGGCATGCGCTCTGTTTCACGCCATCGGGGGAGCACTTACACCGACAACACCTAGCCGCGCCACGGAGGCTTGCAACCGACATGCCAAGTGTCCTCTCTACGCCTCCTGGATGACTCCCTCGACCATACACGCACAGATGAAATGATGGGGGCAAGCGCTTGATTCGGTTTCGCCCGTGCAGGGCCTACATGTAGCTTACCCCACGGGGCGCGGAAAGTCCTTCTCCGTGACGTTGAAGAGGCGTTCGTGCGCAAACATTTCGTCCCCGCACGTGATCTCGGGAACAAGGGACCTAGGCGACATCTGGTGAAGCCCAAACTCACGATACACGAGCGCAAGATCACGGCTAGGGATGCAAGCGCCCGTGAGTCTTTCAGTTTTGGAAAACATGGAACAGAGGGCAAAGCAAGGGGAGCGCGGAGAGGGGATCGGTAGGATCAAGCCGCGCGAAGGAAAGGAAAGTGTAGGGACATCCCCCATGGCTACCTCAGGGGGAGAGGCGGTGGATTCGACGTCACGCGTGGGAGGATTGCAGCGTCAGTGCCTCATGCCACCATTTGTGACGCCGACGCCTGGCAGAGCCTCGAAAATAGTACCACCAAGCATGTCAAGATGCTCTCAAAACAGTTCCACCCCGCTCAGCTCCGCCCGCCGGTAAGCCCGCTCTCCGCCAACTCCATCTCACCCGTCGTCTAGCTTTTTGATCTGGCGCAAATGTCCGTTAGTGCATACGTCCTGCATCCGGCGAAAACATTTCGGAATGGGCGTGTTAGCGGCTGTGTCGTCGGAGGACGTTGTCGACAATCAAGGGCTAAGTTTCTACGATTCACTGCTGTCTCACGCACTCTAGGGGGGGCAGGGGCCGTCGGCCGGTGCGCGGCGCATCAGGGCGCCGGGTGTGCTTCGCGGTTCATGGCACAATGGCTACCTGAAATAGAACACTCTCGTAGCATGCAGGCTGTTCGGCACAGATGACCGCAGGAATAGTAAGACACGGCGTACCTGGTTGGGCGTTGCATCCATCAGGAGCACGACCGGACGTTTGGGAAGGACGGTGGCGCTCCTGACGAACAGTTCGATGCCCGCGGCGGCCTTCCCGCACTCGTTGCTAGCGACCATCAATGTCATATCCCACGATATGAGGTCCGCTTCAAGACCCGCGTGTGCTTCTACGCAGTAGCTGTGAGGGAAGGCGGGCCGTGCGTGTATTTGGTAATTTGATTACTTCTTTTCGAAGGCTCTCTACGCACGAATATAACGTTTTAATGACAGAACGTCAGCACCGGCAAGAATTGCACGCCTCAACTCTCTCAAACACAGGACACATTTTGAACGGCACACACACCTATAGGGTGCCACGCGCGTGTTCCCCATGGCCACGTTGATCGCCTCGAACTTCACACCCGTCGCGGCCATAAGCCTGCCGAACGTCTCGTTGAGCAGAACGGGGTAGCTCTGCTCGAATAGGCAGTCGTGCCCGGCTGTTGTGGAGACCCCTGTGACAAATCAATGGCAGTCCGATAGTCGCTAAAAAAACAGCTGGAGAAAAATGATTCAGCCGCCCCACACGAAATCCGGGTGCAACTGGACACGGTGCTCCAAAGCGACAAAAACACGCGCATTCATCGTGAAAGGGTCTGACCACGAAACGCGTGTTGTAAGTGCGACTTGGTGCTTGTCGTCGTAGCTCGGGCAACTGGTTTCCCTCTGCGTGAATCCGGATCTCGACCAGAAAGGACACAAAGTAGGCCAACAACCGCACGGGATGTGAAACGCAAGACATACGTCACACGTTCCTCGCCTGTGAAGGCCGCGAGGAAGCCCTCTTGCTCAACAACGGCGTTCAGCATCTTGTTCTCTACGACCTTGCCCCCGTCCGAGAACTTCATCCCTCCGGAGAACAGCGGCGTGTTGGCGTACTTGTAACCCCACCTCGTCTGCTCAGTTTCCGTTCGGGCAAAAGGCGCATGTGCACGATCGATCGTCCAGCAACATTACTAGTTCCGCTGTCACGTCAGGCTTGGTTGGAGTGGGAGAGTGATGGGGCGGCGATAGTCTGTTTCTGCTGTACTGCTGTACCCGCCATGAGCCTAAACCTGAAATCCAAGGCCGCCATTTGCAACGTAATAGCGCAGTACTGTATCCCTCGCTCGCGGATTTCCTGTCACCTACGACGGAATATTGCAAGCTGGACGGACTGCTGTTTTATTAGCACCGGCTGTTTGCATACAGAACAGTCTAACAGAGGCCATGTTGCGACATAAACACCTAGCTTGGTGCCTGAGGGCGTCCATGTGTGCTGCGCTAAAAGACTGCTGTCACCAACCTGGGAAATAAAACAATCTTTCACATGCACCAATGCCGCTATCACCAGCCCCACGATTCATCCGTCTCAGGCATGGCATCCTAAACACGTGTACGCACCAGAATATCGCTGGAGATCTCCGAGTACACTGAGCGGGCGTTTTCCAACACTGCACCAGGTGGCTGCGCCACAGAAGCGTGCTGCGTCCAGTGCTCGTCCATCCCCTCTATCTCTGCAATAGGATCGTTACCCTCCTCCTCCTCCTCCTCCTCCTCCACCTCCTCCTCCTCAGGAAGTACCGGATCTTGTTGCGTTTCCTCCCAAGACCCATGTAGCTCAGGCGCGTTGTTGTCCCCCTCTCCCCTACCCTCCCCCGTCCCCTCCCCAACATGAGATTCTTCACCTTCACCCTCTGCAGCGCCCGTGTTTCGACGCGTAATAACACCAGGTGTTCTCGATGCGGATACTCCCGCATCTCCTTTCAAGCTGAGGCCTGAAGGCCCCCGTTCGGTCGTCGGAGTCGCTGACACTCTCTGCGCCAAGGCCAGCCCTTCTTGGGTGTTCGTGCTGCCTGATGAGTCTCCTGCTGCTGCTGCTGCTGCTGAGAAGCGCTGCTCCAGGCCGCAAGCGCAAGCCAGCCATACGAATGCCGGGATATGCCTCATCAAGTCGAACCTGCCTCCTCTCCAACTGGTCCTCCCGGCAAAAATCGTCACGGTAGGATCGGTGACTAGACTATGCACTCCTCTGTAGGTTGCCTCCCTTGGACACGCCCTGGCGCCCGGCCGTGCAGATAATAACCGGAAGAAGACCAGACGAGGAGCGGGAGTTCCTCCGCCCTCCGATATGAAAAAGGTCGATGTTGAATCGGGTCGGAAAAAGTCCGATGTTGATATCGGAAGAGAGACGAGGAGGGAGAGGTTATACCTTATCTCTCGCTGGCGCTTCTACACACCACACCTGTTCTCCAGAAATAATATTACTCCTCTCGCATGCACAGCTTTTCTCGAACGGAGAAGCAAAACAAGTTGTTGTCCTTCCCTTCCCTTCCTGACGGGGAGGCGGTCAAAACTTGCCGACCCTGCCAAATGTAGTTCGAACGCTCACGGGGCACGCCCTTTACCTCTGCTGGCACTGCCTGTGTGTGGTCAACTCTCTCAGCATGTCGCGTCGGGCTCTGGGCTCTGGGCTCCGAGCTCCGAGGTCAGGGCCACACACGCACGACCCTCCGCCGAGCCTCCGAGCTCTGAGGCCGAAAAGTTAGAACTGGTTCTAGCGCCGAACTACACGCATACATTTGGTTCTCTCGGCGCTCTCGCGCTCTCGTCAGCGGGCAGCAGGCTTCCATCAGCTGTCAGCGGCAGCGCAGACTCAGGGATAGACGAGGGATTGATTGCCGCACGAGAGGATCCTCGAGACTGCTCGCTGACCATTCCCTGTTTGCTATCAAGAAGCGAGGCGACAATCATGGCTAGGTCCCACCTCAGCACGTCCAGCACTCTGCCAGCTTTCCACCAAAGCAACCTACAAGTACACGCTGCTGCCGCTGCATGGACTCGTCGACGTGTTCCGCCAACGAGACGAAGGGTGGTGCCCGCGTTCATGAGCGATCCTAGGCAAGGGGAAGGCGGGATGGAATTCACAGAGCCTTCGCTGGAAGAGTCTCTCGACGCCATAGATGATGTCTTCATGGACAGGTTGCCTGGAGAAGGTGAGCTGCGGCTGCACAACGCATCGGAGGCACACGCACAGAAACATGTTCGTATGTGAATTCGCTATGCTACATACCGGCGTGGGTTGACCCCGGACGGTGCGTCTAGCTAGTTGTAGTGTAAGTGCACATACGCGACAAACGTGTAGTGTGACCGAAGAGGGGTAAGCAGGCGGCGCAAGAGACGGGACGAAAAAAAAAAAAACTGATAAATTTATTGTACCAGAATAATACAACCACAGAGTAGAGTGACGCGAGCACCCCCTGTACTGCGTGGAATCCATTATAGTGAGCCGCGGAGCGCGAAGCGCGACATTTTTCATTTTTTCCCTTCGTCCCCTGGAAGGAAAAAAAGTCCAAACAACAGCAGCAGTTATAATGAGCCGCGGAGCGAGCGAAGCGAGCGACATTTTTTCCCTTCGTCCCCAGGAGGGGAAAAAAGGCTCTATACATCGGCCAAAGTTGCGCCGCGCGATACAGGGGCCCCAAAACTTGGTTTCCGGGAAGCCTATTTAGCACACCTTTGGGACCAGAACGAGATCTATAGGGCACCGATTGACGATCTGCTCGCTTCTGAGGAAGAAGATAGCGCGCTCTTCTCCACACCGGTTTCGTCGTGCTCCGAGAGCAGATGTCCGTGCTTCACCGGCATATGTAGCCTATATTCGTTGGAGATTCTGTTATGCTCCCCAACCCCGGGGTTTCTACGCGAAAAGGCCTGCACAAAAGCGGAGATAGCTCGCGCGCGCGATTCAGACCAGGACAAAAAACATCGACAGAGACGCAAGAACACCACCAACAAACGAATCACCGCTGAGACGCTGGTCTGAGACCAGCTATGAAAACCAGGAGGGGCCGGGCCTATACTACCTGTGCACCGTGGGTATACTGCTGTAGGCATGCGCCATGTGTAACCTGGCGGGTATTCAGTGATGTTGAGTGGGTCCAACCAACCGCTTCAAAAAGAGCAGACCGATTATCATACTTACTATCATCGAGAGAATCCGTCGAGGGCGTGAGGGTCTACTACTGCTCTGCTGTGCGTTATTAGGATGGTTGCCCACGGGATCGGTTCAGATTGCGTACTTGCGCCGCGCTACTGACTGTCTTCGCAAAGAAAGCCGTGCCCTGCATGCTGTTGTTTCTGCTGCAGGGCTGCAGCAGGGCCTCTCCGCCTCTCGCATCAAAGTCATAACGTCACATGACCATCAACGGGTTTTTTTGTTTTTGGTTCATGCTGGACTGCTTGCTTTTACTTGGGCGGGAAACCCGGAAGGCTTGAGACGAATGTGGCGGGCAAGTTTTGAGTCTGACGCAATATTTGTCATCTGTCGTGTCATAATCCTATGTCTACGCTACTGGTCGTGCTCCTCGACGGTGTGATGTGTGATACGCTCGCCGCCAGGGGGATGCCGCATGTATGTGTGCTTCTTCCACACAGCGGGAAGACTTCACATTTTGTTTCTTTGTGCATGTGCATCAAAACGGAAAGAAACAACCGCATGTAAAGATGTGAAGTGCAAAGTTTTGAGCGGTGGCCGCACATACAATCATCGTCGCTCCCGTCCCACGCCTACTGTCCCTCTGTGGTGCACGCGTAGCTGCACCACAAATGATTCACGCTGGTGTGTGTCGGGATTCGTCCACCATCAGCATCGCAGATAAGACTACTGCAAGGTATTGAGTCGCACCACGCGGCTCATCCCCCCTCCATACCTAGTATATATCGGGTTCTTCTAACCAACGCCATGTACTACTGCTGTAGGAGCCCTCTTGCGCGATTTTCCGCCTAATTGTATCGACCGCCCGAAAATATTCGCCTTTGTTCGACCAGAACGAGGTCTACAGAGCACCGATTTACGATCTGCTGGCTTGTAACGTAAGGAGGAAACAAGTTAGGGCACTCTTCGTCACACCGGTCGCGCTCCGACACCAGATGGATGTGCTTGACAGGCGTTTGTCCCCAAAATCATGAGAGATTCTGACCCCTTTCCCCAGGGAGTTGTAGAGGTAACGGAGGAACAAATCGGACATCTCCCACACACACACAAGCAGTTTGCATGGTTCCCAAACTAGGAGACACAGAGTAAGCTCTCAGCTGAACACGGAACACTGCTGGGAGGGGCATGACAGCACTGGCGAGGGAAGGGACCCATACACACAGCTCGTGGCGGATGTCATTGTCATTGCTGTTGCTTCGGTGTGTGGGGAGAGATCATCGGTAAACCAAACCTGCGCTTGGGGCAAAAAATTCATAGACTAGTGCGGTGTGTTGTTGATGTAAATCGGTTTGGAGTGGGTGCGAGTGACATCGTTACTCGCTTCGCTCGCAGGCACTTCACGGGTTTTTGGGCGTGGTGCAGTGCGCGGTCACATTGCCGTGTGACTCGCTTCTCTCGAAGGCACTTCACGGGGTTTCGACCGCGCTGCAGTGTGCGGTCACAGTACGGCGTGACTCGCTTCGCTCGGAGACACTTCACTGGGTTTCGGGCGTGCTGCAGTGTGCGGTTACAGCAGTGGTGTGTGACTCGCTTTGCTCGGAGGCACTTCACGGGTTTTTGGGCGTGCAGCAGTGTGCGGTTACAGTAACTTGTGACTCGCTTCGCTCGAAGGCATTTTACGGGGTTTCGACCGCGCTGCAGTGTGCGGTCACAATACGGCGTGACTCGATTCGCTCGGAGACACTTCACTGGGGTTCGGGCGTGCTGCAGTGTGCGGTTACAGCAGTGGTGTGTGACTCGCTTTGCTCGGAGGCACTTCACGGGGTTTCGGGCGTGCAGCAGTGTGCGGTTACAGTAACTTGTGACTCGCTTCGCTCGAAGGCATTTTACCGGGTTTCGGGCGTGCTGCAGTGCGCGGTAACAGTGCGGATCGACTCGCATGTACTCAAAGACAGTCAGTTCATGCGCGGGCAATGTGATGCCCCCCCCTTCTCGAGAGGAAGTTCCTCGGTGTGCCTGTCTTTGCTCGTAGTTAGGCACTTGGCTCTATTATTGCACAAGAAGATTATTAATTGTTCGATCGCTCAGCAAGCGCATACAACTCCCCCTCGATACGCTTTGCTCCACCCACACCGTGTTGTTCAGTACTCCAGGCCACACACCCGTCCACTCGCTTGGAGCATTGTATGACTGACTGTCTTTCGTCCCACAGTCAGTGTAGCGTACGCAGCTCCCCTACCTCTCACGTTAACCGAAACTATTGTTACTGTCGAGGAAAGCTTCTGAATTTGTTTATGGTTGGCGGCGGCATAGAGCTCACGGCAAGAAGAATGGAAAGCGATCTGATGCCGAAGAGTTGCAAGAGGAGCAGCAGCAGCAGCAGCAGCATACCCGGGCAGCGATACGTGAAGTCGGCTACGCACGAGCGTCGACGGCAGCAGCGAGCTGCCGGGCAGGAGGAGTGTTGCCGGAGCGTTGTGGTCCGTTTGGATTTGAACCCCCTCCCCCCCCCCGTACGCATGAAAATTATGTAATTAGGGGGTATGCAGTTGTTCCGTGCCCCAGCAGCAATTTGAGAGACAGCGTGAATTCGAGCACAAGACAGAGAGGTAGCGCAAAGAGTAAGAGCGAAGAGAGACGTGCAGACGTGCAGCAACTGCTGTGATGACGACTCAGTATGTTATGTGTGCGCGTATGATGTGTGGTTGTACCTGTTGATGCACACGCGTAGAGGAGAGGGTACATCCACGCTGCTCTCTCTGCGGTTGGTCCTTAACCGAAGCACAGACAGGCAGCCGCTATGAACGTATGGTAATACACTACTGGTTGCTGCGCTGGCAACCCCGTGCTATGTACAGCTCATGGCAGTAGAAACCCGTCTGTGTTGGTTACAGTAGTAGACATGCAGCCCAGCAGCAACAGATGGGTTGACTGCTGTGCTGCTATGCACTGCTGTGCCTGCTGTGTGAATACTGAATGTGTGTAGGCTGCTGCTGTTTAGTAGTTTGGCGTTTTGGTTTTCCGGGGACGCGCCTCCCGCAGCCCAGGGCACAAAGAAGCGAGATATATGTCCGGAGGTGCTGCCCCCCCCTTCCCCCCCCCCCCCTGGTTTGAAGAAATTGTAAGTACGAGTACGGGGTATGCAGGGACTCCGTGCCATGAATGCATGCGGTGTGACCGCTGATGATCATGCGTAACTACTGGATACAGACAGATACAGGACACACGGCGAAAGATGCACACAGACAGCTGTGAGACACAAACACATGCAGTAGCAGCAGTAGCTGGCAACCTGTATGGCTATGATGTGTGGTTGTACGTTCGTTTGATGAAGGTGATGTGTACACACAGCAGCACAGCAGCAGCACAGCAGCAGTGTAGCAGTCAGCGGTTTGTTTGGTCCACCACAAGTGCTTGGTTCACCACACGCGTGGTTTGCTTGGTCCACCACCAGTGCCGTGGGGGGGTAACCCCCCCCCGGACCCCCCCCCTCACCCACGCGTGGTTTGCTTGGTTCACCACATGCGTAGTTTGCTTGGTCCAAAATATATTTACTTGATTTTTAAAAAATACTACAAACTGATGATCCCACCAGACGCGGCGTTTTTTTTTCAGACTGGCTGTGCTCTCGCGCTCGCAGTTTGTGAGCGTCCTACAGCCTCCTGGTCGGTGTTAATCACCACACAAGACGGAGCATGGACACAGCTCGTGCAATTACCTTTGTTGTTGCTGTTGCTTCCGTGTTATGGGGAGGGGCCACCCGGAAACAAACCTGTGCCACGGGAAAAAAAGTGCAAAACGAGCCTTTTCTTTTTTGGCGCCAGAAGGGTGTTTTTTCTCGCGTGCATGCACTGCCGACTCTCGCCACCTCAGCTTCGTGGGTCCTATGGCCCCGGCCTCTATCAGCCGCCACATGAGACGTTGCATACACACACAGCCCGCGCAAACCACCATTTTCGGCACCGTCACTCGTTGTGGTGTGGAGCAACCGAGCTTTGCAAATTGGTCCAGCATCCAGCGTGCGGTATCGTGCGCCACCTACGGCATTGTATGCACACGAATCCCAACGGCCGTTCGTTGCACTTTTTTCTTTAGAATTTCATTGTCATAAGTCGCAAAATTCAAAACGGTCGACTGCACCGCCCGCCCCAAAAAGCATCGCAGATAGAAGTACATGACGACTGCAAGGTATTGAGTCGGCTACCCCGCGACTCATTACCCCTCCCTATCTAGTCGAGGTCATTTCTTCTGCAACCTGGTGTCACGTGCTCCCATCACGTTAGCACGCGAGATAATTACTGTCTGTCGTCCAGTTTGGGGCTTCCGCTGCAAAAACCAATATTATTTTGATCGTGTGTAGTTTGAGCACCCTGTCGTCTACTTGGTGGTGTCTGTACGGGTGCAGGGCGAGAGAAGGTGAAGATTTTTGGCGCGTGGCTGGACGCCGACGTTGCGGGAAGGAAAGCGGGGCAAGGGAACAGAGCGGCAGGGCTGATTGCTCGCATGAAGAATGGAGAGGAGCTTACAGACCAAGAAAAGGCAGAGGTATATATGTATATATGCCCGTGGTATCCGCACGTGAGGACTTGCTTTCGCACGGTACACGTACCAGGTCGCTTTTTGATAGTTTTTTTCGCGAGGTTTGTCAACGTGCTTTTTCACTACGATACTGCTGCCCGTAGCTTTCGTCATTGCCCCAAGTACCTCCTTACTGCTGCACCACGGAATATAGATTGCACCTCATTTTACGTTCCCAGAGACGCCCGGAATCTGATCTGCTGCCAATACAACCACAACAAGCTGTGTTCAACGCCGGATGCAGTCGCATTTCTACCTTCTGCTCTCTCCAACCCCGCTCTCCCCCTTAAGGATTTCCCAAACTCTCAGGCACTGCTGTCGAAAGAGCCACTGCACAGCAGTAGAACATGCATGACAACAAGCATATTGTGTAGCTGAGGCTTTCGAGCAAAAGAAGCGGCCAGCTTTGACGGGCGGGCATGTCCATCCCACTCGTTGCAGATGCGAGAGCAATAGAACGACGTAATACTGAAATTTATATTTCTATCCAGCGTAGACGTACCCACTCGCCCGCTGACCCGCCCACCCCACGGGCTCCCATGTTTGTCAGATTTTTTATGAAGAAGCGATCGCGTTGATGAGGCGCCGCGACTGCGACGCATCTGTCGCTCTCCTAGACAAGGCAGTCGACCTGGCGGGAGCGGACTCGAGGAGAGGCGGCGAAGTGAGACAGACGTCCTCGTGTATAGCGAAAATGTCTTCGAGTTGTGCACCACTGTCTACTAAAGAAGAGGGGTCAATTTGTCAATCTTTACAGAAGTGATTCAACAAGACGTGGAACAGCGCAATGGGTGACTCCAAGGTCCAGTCTCAGTTTGTGCAAGCACTTCTTGAATCGTCCCAACAATATTGGAATACCCAACTGGACTACAGGGTCTAACGAAGTCGCTCTCCCTCCGACTTGATCTGCGTGTCGCGTAGTTCAAGCTGTGGGCGGCGCAGGCCCTGCAGGGTGTCAACAGGAACAACCAAGCGGTGGAGGTCTTGAAAAGCCTCAAGAGTCACAGGGATTTCGACGTCCGCAAGGTGTGTCCACGCGTGTGTGTGCGCATAAACACCTCGCCAACTGGCTGGCTAAACGCTGCGAGAACGTCGGTCTCAGCGACAGCACAAAGCTCTGGAGCGCGCGCGCACACGGTTGTGTGTTTAAGCGAAAGTTCCAGTTTTGAAAGCGAAAGGGTCATGCCTGCTGCCAACGACACCCGGGCATCTAGACCGCTGCTGACGTTTTTTTGCCCTGCATAGGTTAGTTATTTTACCAAGTTAAAACCACCGGATCGTTGTCTGGGCGCTACTCAGGTAAGCGCTGAGCTTCTGTACATCGCTCAAGCTCCGCAGCTGGCGTTGAATGGCGAGGACTTCGTCGACTTTCCGGATACATCCGGCATCACGGACGATTATGACAAGAAGGTACGACGCACCACATCGCCATGAAGTTGCTGCAGCCGTGGTGACGGGTGTGTTGAGGCACACTTTTGATCCTTGCTTCCGGTTTCTAACCCTGTAGGCGTTCTTGAGGGTTAGCGGGAACGGTTGGGGTGGGGGGTGGAGGGGCAAGTTCTTTGAGGGCGAGGAAAGAAGGCCGGTACATACCTGTTCTTGCTTGCCTCCGTCGTGCGAAACATACAAGTTGAAAACGGATTGTTCCTCCAGAGGAGCTGTTCTCGTAGGTTTCGTTGGATCGACAAGTTTCGTTCGATCGAGTATAGCGGTGGCGAAATGTCGCCACTGCCGCGCCAAACATTTGCCCGGAATTTTTCCGCAGTTGCTTGCTGCGGCTGGATCAGCACGCTTTAGCCGCACATCTCTCTTCGTCTCTTGATAGTCATTCCCGTACGTAAGAGGGCGACAACATGTACGCGAAGTGGGGACTCTATTCTTTGTCTTGGTTGTTGGGCCCTCTGTAGGCGGGGATGGTGCTCATCAATAGTACGCGATTTCGCCTCGCATCTCTATCCCGCCCAACAGCTCTCGCCTTCGAGGCGGGCCTGTCTGCTACGTCACAGAGGGCAAACGATAGGACTTTTTCCAAGTTCTCGAATTCGACTTTGTTATCTAGGAAGGAAAGAGGATCGCGTGGTGTTTTCGCCAAAAACTTGTGAAGCATGCGCCACAGAAGAAAATTGACAGGTCGTCTGGGGATAGGCCGGAGGTTTGACGGGTAGACTATTGATGGCCGTAAAAAAAAAAAATGACCACCCCCCTCCCGACCCTTCCCCCGTATCCAGGATCTGGGGAAGCCCAAAATAGCTCCGTGGAAAAAGTCAGAGAAGGAAGAAGACATGTTTTACGTCGGGGAGGACACAGGAGTACGACCGGGCAATGATCCCGTCATGTTCTTGGCAGCGATTGTGGGCATCTTGGGCCTGTCGTACATGTTTTTGGTGTAGGATTGCCCGTTCGGTTTGGGCCCCGCCCACCTCTCGCATGTCCATTCTCCTACAGATGCAGCAGGTGTCCCGCCGCTGCTGACTGCGGTTGGTCGTCTCAATGGAAGTAATAAGGTTAGCAGGACGAGTGGGCGTTGCCTGGAGCGTGTGGTACGTGTACAACAAGGGAGTTCATTTTTTTGAAGCGCCGAGGCCCGTGGCCCTGCAGTACTTGGGGTGTACATACGGGTAGACTAAAATAACTGCTGCGGTAGAGTAGCGTGCCCGAGGGTTCACTGGCGTGGAAGAACGGTTGGGGTATGTATCGGGAGGGCGCAGCGTCCCCGCCTGTGTCATGCGGCTACTTTGATCTGAGGCGGGGTTGTATAGTAGCATGCGGTGCACACAAGTACGTAGGAGGGTGCCGGCGTGTGCGTTTATTCCTAGATGCCGACAAAGGTGCTCGGCAGCCGAGCTTTCTGTGTGTAGCTAGTACGGACTCTGTCAGGCGGAGTCATCCCGTGGTTAACTTCTTTCGGTGATATTCAGCCCGACTTCATTTTCGGCAAACGATCGACGCTCTGCGTACGTGCTTGCTCTCAGCAATGCAAAGACCTTACAAATTCGGAAAGCGGAGGGTTTCCTTGCTTGCGTTATTTTGTCGATGACACAAACGAAGAAAAGAGCATACATACACTTGCTGGGCCCGCTCTCAAATCGAAACGACAACGACGAACTTGTACCCAGCTTATTTGTGGAACGATTTCCACACTCGTGTTCAGGTTTGCTTCCACAACACGTATTCCCGCCCTTGGCCGGCGCCGATCACTGGCTTGCAAACCAACTATCCGAAAAAACGGGTATTTCAATATTGCAGCAGCACTCATCATCCAATTTCCGTGTTCAACCTGGAAATTTCGGTTTCAACGCGGCCCCGATCCTCATTCAACCGAACTACGACCCGTCATTGGTCCGGCCGGGACAAGCCATTGGTCCGCGACATGCCATCGGCCCGAGGTGTTTAGCCGCGACTAAACCACAGGTACTATCACTTTATTGTACCGACAACCAGGGATCCGCAATTGGTCCGCGATATGTCATTTGGCCCGGGACAAGTCATTGCCCCGAGCTACAGTAGCTGTGTACCAGGTAGTAAATAGGCGGCTGGGCCTCCTCCAAGCACGATCGCTTCTTCTGTATTTACCGAAAATGAGGGACCCGCCATTGGACCGAGCCGCCGTGTGTTGACGGCTTTGGTCGCGTCATTGCCGACAAGAACACAGTGTATGAGAATACGAAGCTCGCGCCACGGCGGGGTGTTCGCCCGTGATGGGACACCGCACCATGTGTTTCCCAGCGTGAGCACCATTGACCCTAACACAGCTTAGGCACGAAGCACCACGAGTTTCAAATAGACTCTAAATATGCATATGCCGCCACACATATATACATGGAGATGTTGTGTGAGCACCATCTCATTTTTATTAGTTTTTCGAGTTCGACGGCGAGAAGTCTATGCCGCCTCGGGAAGAAACCCACCGCGCCGTCGAGGCGGGAGGGGGGTGCATACTCGTGTTTTGCATGCCTTACTTCGCGGTTAGACCATCGACCACGTCGAGGAGGGAGGGGGCGAAAAAACAAGCGCGTCTTCCTTTGAGAGCAGAGACCAAGCGAGCCGAGACGAGCGAGAAGCTCGGCAGTGCTTGCTTGAATCCAAGGGATGGTCGAGTCACCTTGCGGTATGTGCACACCGGAACACCCTCAAGGGACTGTCGAGTCACCTTGTATGTGCAAACCGGAACACCCTCAAGGGACCGTCGAGTCACCCGGCGGTAGGTGCGCACCAGACTGCGAACAATGGGTACAACGCCGGGTTGAATAGGCGGCATGCAGCTGCGTGCATGTATACTGAAAAAAATTGGTCTCTTGGGATGACCAGAGCAGACAGACGTCACTCCGGACAGTCAGAGCTCTCGTAAACACGGCGATATAATCTATCCGGCCGCCCTTTCTGCGCATGCATACGGTACGTACATTTGATTCGTCAATAAGCTTCACAGCAACTACTACTCAGACAGAGAGAGACAACAGCACAACATAGTTTTCCTAGCAGTACAAAACACCCCTGGACCCAGACAGACGCGCTCGATCATATTTTCAGCGACTGACACTATTTTCTGGCACGCACCATCATCACGCACGCACGACGCCATGGGCGGCGAGTAAGGAAACTACGGCGTGAGGCGCTCATACGTCACACAGTAATCTTACTGACACTAGACAAACATCCGAAACACAATATTCGTACTGACGCGGCCGACGATTGCGATTGTATGCTTTCCCACAGCCTCATCGAGATAGCGTCGGCTACCGCGTAGTAAGTACACCCCAACCACAACTAACTCAAGTCAGCTATCGCCCTCTATTGGCGCACACCTTCTTTATCACTCCCTGGATATTTTCTCCATATTTGGCCAACGAGACGGCCGGAGGCAGGACACCCGAAATATGGCACCTGGCGGATCGAGAAAGTGGAAGCACCGCATCACACAAGACAAACCCTGCAGGAGCTCGCATTCCATCGCATTCCCTTCTCTGTCACACACGACATCGCTTTCTTTCGTTCTCTTTCTCTCTCTTTGCACACGTTGCCAGGCTGCATGCGTATGTATGAAGCTAACTTCTGGATACAACTCTATCATCCCCCCCAGCCGCGCGCGCGCACTATCCACTACTTCCAGTACACAGCAAGACCGAAATGAGTTGGTACGATTCCTCTTCCCCCCAAAGCGTCAATCGATAAATGCACAAAACAAAAACACGCGCGAAAGTGGCTTCCTCCCCGTGAACTCCGAGTAGCTGAAGCGCAACTAACTACGCAATGGACCATCATTGCACTATATACAATTCTGATGGCACAACAGCAGCGTACACATGACCAAGAGAGAAGCAGAGTTGCCACTGAGATAGCAAGAAACACAAACACTCAACCCCCTCAACTAAACATACAGATAAAACACGACAATAGCATAATCGGTGGTCAACAGGTCACTGCCACTAAACGGCTGACGTACTCTTCCGTCGAACACACGACGAGGCAACACACGGTCTCTACATGCATGATCTACATCACATAAATAGGCAGTCAGCCGGCAAGCACGTACGTGCGAGTTGAAACCACCCCTACATCTCTCCTTGAATCAATCGCGGTTCGAAGTCAAGGGGCAAATACCACCCTCTGTAAGATAAATACGGATAGTAGATAGATCGTATGTAGCGTGGTGCTGAACTATTATTAGTTTAGGCTTATCAAATATCCCACCCACCCCCAGCCAGGAAAATTTGCTGCAAGACATCCCTGGCCTTCGAGATCGACGGCCGTCGATCCGGGTCCTCGTGCCAGCAAGCCTGCAGGAGGTGTTGGAGAGCTCCCGGCCATCGGGGGTCCAGCGGCGGCCTCAAGCCGCCGGTGATGACCTCTCGGTAGTGGTCGGCCACGCTCATTCCGGCGAACGGCTTTCGGAGGGTGCAAATCTCCCAGAGCACGATGGCGAACGAGTAAACGTCGACCTTCTCGTTGTACGGGAGGCCGTTGCAAACCTCTGGGCTCATGAAACGCTTGCTGCCGGCCATGCCCGACATCTACGTAGAGAATGTGACAAAAGAACGCGAGAGGGGGGGGGTGAAGAAAATGTCACAATGCCATGAACCATGAGAGAATCTCACCCTTTGATCGTTTGAAAATACCTTGTGGATATTTGTTGGAAAATTCCGAGCCTTGGTTACACATTGATAGTAACTCTTCCGTCCATTCCGTGCATCCGTCTGCAACTCTCTGCGTACCAATCTCCCCGAACGAATGAAATAGGATCAATCCAATCCTCCCCTATGCATACGACCAACACAACTAGCGCCCATACACTATTTTCTAGTTTGCAAATCCAATCCGAATGGTCACAGCAGTACAGCGTACTGTAGTTTGTCGGCATGACACTTTGCGTATGAAAGTAGAACGCCGGCGACGCGCACAGTTGACGGCATGCCATAGTCCAAGACTTTCCCTTACCTGGTATTTCTGGTTCAAGTTTCCTCTCCGAACCTCTTGCACCACGGAAAGCCCAAAGTCGAACACCTTCACGTGCCCCTCGGCGCAGAGCCCGATATTTGTTGGTTTGAGATCTCTGCGAATTTTGAGGGGCGAGGAGGGGCGAGGGAGGTTCGGGTTGTTAGCTTTTCGGTGTGTGGTGTAAAAAGCGGGTACTACTGCTGTAAGGAGGGTGAACCCGGCGAAATCGTCAACACAACAAAGGCGCGTCTAAGATTTGTTTTGTTGTTCTATCGCATTAGCTCCAAGTCCACAAAAATGGGGAGCCCGTGGTCGCAAAACCCGGCACATACGACGCCGCGGGGAACAGTGTAAGTAAGTGGCGTGTGCCGAATGCCACCACCTTACCGCAGCAGTGCGAAAGAGACTGCTGCTGTAAATTGTCCACGTGATGATCCCAAACCTATAACAAGCCGTCGCCATTCGTCGGTTGTTGAGCATGAAGTAGGCCTCATGTACGCAATCATCATGCATCTTACACGACAAGCGCGGCCGCCGTTAATATTGCTGTGTAGACAACGTAAAACATCACAGAGAGAAGACGAGATGCATAATCATGCAAACCACGTTGTTGAGAGGCGTGCACAACTCATCTACGCAAAAAGGAACCGGATTCAAACTAAACGCCTGTTGTGCCCGCCATTGAGGATCTGACAACCGCTCTGTACAAGAACAGAATTTTTTTCGTTAGGAAACGAAAGTATATCTGTGTACAGAGTCCACATTCCCGACGAACGCGGCACAATCCTTCGTGAGCGGTAGCATCAGTCAATCCCCCGAAAAGAAGCAATGCAATCATATCCGTATGTTGAGCTAGGCTGACGGCCGTACCAACACACACCACAGCAGCAGCCGCCGCCGTGATGCCTGCTGTTCAGCATATATATGCACATTTCCGATGAAGAGGAGATCTGGAGACTTTGACTGCTTACAAGGTTGATCGAGACAAGACAATGGTTGACATACATATATATGCGTATGTCAAAGACACATCTCCTTCACACGCTTCAACTGCTTCCTGGCTTGAACTCTAACCCTAACACAGACATCGCCGGCTGGCGTTAGGTCTCAGTGCACCGCCGTGGATAGGTGCCAGCAGGCTGGTGTGCACGGGATACGCGTCAACAGGGTAAAGCATGGAGACCACAACGAGAGGAGAGTCAGCACAGCTGAACAACTTGGGCCAGATATAAAGTGGAGAAAAATATGTGTTTCTTGCGTATGTCTTGTGCAAGCAGCAGCGCCACCAGCGCAACGATGTGGTAACCAATCGTTGCCGGCATCTCTCTGCAGTTGTAGGCCCGCGTTGTGAACTCAATCTCGTAACGCCACTAGCTCTAACGTTCATGACCCAATGCAGAGCAAAGGTCTCATTGGGCGGTTGTATGCCAATACGGTGTCAAAACAGCGTCAGCAGCCCTGACAAAAATAACTCACAACACCCCGCCGCGTATTTCGCTCTCACCGGTGAAGAATAAAGCCCGGGAGAGCATCGCGGTGCAAGTACTGCAGGGCATCAGCTAGCTCGAGCGCCACGGGTAGACGCATGACGAGATCAACCCACGACCCTCCGTCGGCGGCATCGCCACCTGGCGTTCGGCTTCTCTCGATAGCTCCGGCAAGGCTGCCCCCCTCGAGACGCTCCAGGACAAGGAAGGGCTCGCCTCGAGACGTGAACCCAGCACCCAGCGCGGCGGCAATATTTGGATGTCCGCCTCGTTCGGAGATGCGCTTGTAGATTGCTATCTCGGCCAGCAAATCAGCCGCGGCGCTGTTGGGCCCCTGCGGTTTGGGTATCTTGAGCACGGCTCTCTGAACGCCGTTGTACGTACACGAGCACACGATACAAAATCCACCATGGTCCAGCGGCTGGATATCGGTGAGCGCGTCCAGCGACAAGTTGTCTTGAAAGACGGCCGTTGAAGAAGCGAAGGCCGTGATGTCGTCGTCCTCGTCACTGCTGCTGTTCCCGCAATAGCCTGAAATGGATGATTGTTGTCTGTGTTGTGGACGGTGGTGGCGCGGGTGCTGGAGCTGATGCTGCTGCTGCATGTTGCACGAGCTGCGTCGTAAGTTGCTGCTGCTGCTGCTGCCGGAGGTTGAGGTCGTGATGCTGCTGGTGGTGGTGCTCTCTTCTTCTTCCTTTTGGAAAACGGGACTATTACTATGGCGGCTGTCACTACACCCCATGAACAAACAGGTCGCGCGCGGGTTGTAGTTCCCTGATCGAAGAGTAAGGAGCGAGCGGTTGAGTGTGAGGTGAGAGTGTGGGGTAGAAAAAATATGTCGGTGTTTTTGCTGCATGCGCTGTCGGATTCACCGCCATGGTTGTGAGGAAAATAAACTTTCCTCTGGGTGAAGAAGCTTCTTATGGTCAAATCGATGGCTCTGATTGGCCAAGCACAAACTGCACTGAGAAGACCTTTTTGTATATATTTTTTCATACTTTCCGAGCGGATGAACACATGATCACACACACCTCAACACTGAAAAGATCTTCCTTGGTGATGGCAACAACGCCGGCGGTGAACGATATACCACAGGTCTGCTTGAGCACATCACAGCGGGCCTACCCATCCGACATATATGCATACGAGGAAGCGTGTGCATCACCACATTACAGCATGCTTGCACATTATGGGACGATATAATACCACAGGTCTGCTTGATTGAGCACATCACAGCGGGCCTACCCATCGGACATATATATATACAATATGCATACGAGGAAGGAAGCGTGTGCATCACCATATTACAGCATGCTTGCACATTATGGGACAAATCTGCTCCTTGCATGTGCCAATAACGTCACAACAACACAAGAGGTCTGGATGTAGAAGAACATGTCATCATGTGCATACCTCTACTCCTCTACTGCTGCTGGTGTGTCGCGGTCGCGCGCGCTTTGAAAATCGATCAACGGGGGGTGGTATCTTACGCAACCCGCGGTCATGGACAATCAAAGGCGACCGCGATGTTTGTTTGGTGTGGTTGTTGCAGTCTGTCTTCACGTTTATCGATCGCTCCGCTCAGTATCTTCTAATATCCGTACTGGTGCAACTCACGCAACAGCTTTCCGTGGCCAAAAGCCAAATACCCAAAGAGGGGCACCCCTCTATACTGCTGTGCACCACCGTAGGTGACGTAAGATATCATACCCCCTCGGTCGATTTTGAAGCTCGTTTTCTCCACAGCAGAAAGAGAAGTGGTGTCCAAAATGGCGGCATTGGAGCCATCTTGTGGAGAGATTTCCGGGAACGCATCGTTTCATTTACGCATCCTCTTCGTTGTGGAGTGATGGAGTGATCGGGCTTTGAAAATCGGAGTGTGGTATCTTGTGTCACGAACAAAAATCAAACAAAGTTCTCCTATAAACCCAAAGTACCATAAATAAAAAAAAAACTCATGGACAACTGGGGCTGGAGGCTGGAGGCTGGAACAAAACACGCTCTGCTGGCAAGGGAAGAGGACACAGAGCTAGGCGGAGGGCCGAGCGAGAGCGTGTGTGTGAGAGAGAGTGACACATACGAAAGGCATAGAGCGACTAGTTCGTCTTCCAGAAAGCTGGAGAGGGGCGGCGACCTACGTCGACCGTTAGCACAACAATCAGCGGCGACGATGGTCAATTCCAAGAGGTGCGAACCGTTGAGCGACCACCGTTCCGTTTGATCCCATGAAGGTATTCTAGTGGCTTTTCTTCCTCCGCCAGGCAAGTTTGCCGTGGCAACGTGTCACCTTGAGCAGTTGGTCACGGGAACAAACAGTTTCCTTCCGTTTTGTGTGTTTGTCTCCCTCTTCCTCTTTGTCTGTCTGTCGTTCTTCGTGCGTTTCACGACGGCACAAGCTTGGTGGCGTTTCCTGCGTATGTACACCCCACAACGGCACGGCTTCTTTGCCGCTCCTGCCTCCGCTGTAAACCGTTCCGAGCACAGCCCTAGCTATGCCTGACTCTGCAGCTGTGTTACACCACCAACCCCATGCCAAAGCTTCTTTCGAGGGCATCCACAGGAGATCCAACACTACCACGCACCACACAACGTAAAACACATTTTGGGGGAATACAGAGAGAGATGTTCTTCTTGCGGAACATCTCCCTCACACGTGGTTATAGTATACACACTACATGCTGTAGATCACGTGCAAGGCGGACATCGCCACGCCCTTCTTTAAAGTAAACATTATCTCACAGAAAGACTTCCCGTTCGAGATATAGCTAACCACAGCAGTCGAGAGGGATGCGCTGAAGTCTTTTCAGTGAGTGGAGGCCCTATTTTATCCTCGCTCGGTCTCTCTCTCTCTCTCTCTCTCTCTCTCCTCTCTTGCGCTTCTCGCCCTGTCTCTCTCCACAACGAAGCAAGCGCGGCACTGCTGTACACCTGTGGACCCCGCAAAAAGCAGCACCCGGATCGTGTACAACAGCAGAAGGATCAGCTTTGGCCGTATTGCTTAGAAGCCGGCGGCGGCTCCCACCCCACATATTTTTTTCGGCTCTTTTTTTGGGAATTCAGCAGCAGCGTGGTTGTTGTGTGTTGTGGAGACGGCTTACTGCTGTAGTCTGCTGCCGGGAGCCTCACGTCTGCAGAGAGAGGAAAACAGGGTGGGTGGGATAGCACTGCGAGCGACGGCATGGTGAAACTAATATCCACCGATAGACAAGTGCCGGTCAAGCCTCTTGTTCTCTTCTTCATTCTCGTCCATGCAGGCAAATATCGTATGATCAACCGTCAGCGTGGAGATTTAGACCGAACTGCCGAAAGGAGAAATTCCACACACACACACTATTGCTTCTGTGCACAATTCAGGGCTTGCTTGTATTGATATAAGCCTCCCTACGGGCGGTGGTCACCATAACAGGGAGTTGATAATTAATTGCTGGTGTTACGTTTCGGAGGAACCCCCCCTCACTTGCCCCATTACTGGCTGCCATACTCTGCACGGTAGTATACAACGTTTCGTAACCCCGGTTGCTTTGCGAGCTCTTCGTTGCGGCCACACCGCACGCGCACGCATGAGGACTGTTGCAAGCACGGCAAGGTATCAGCCATGGAAACGACGGCGGTTCAAACCAGAGAGGAGTTATTTGATGGGAGCGGGGCGAAAGTGTTTCAGAGTCAGCCTGCCGTCCGCTGGTCAGAATGTAGCACTGAGAGTGTGAGGCAGGTACCGCAAGGTTGCGAGTCAGCGCACAGGGGTGCGATCGATTTTCAAAGCGCAATTTCTCCACAACCAGGAGGGTGCGAGCGTCCACTGATACTTCTCCGGAAAGCTCTCGATGACATATATTTCCAAAACCACCCTGTTCGACAGTGGCGACCTCCTGGTTGTGGAGAAATGACGCTTTGAATATCGATCGCACCCCTGTGCGCTGACTCGCAACCTTACGGTATCTTCTTCTCGAAGGATATTTTTCTATAACGAAGTTTTGTCAAGGCTCAGCGGCTCCCGCAATGCCACAACTGCAAGAGACGACACGGCCTGCTGTGGGAGAGGAGAGGACAAGAAAAAAGGCAATGGCGGGGCACCAACGCGGCGCAACTTAACAGGATGCAAGCCATAAATCGGGGCCTGGGACACGCAAGCAGTGCAAGCGGTTGTCAGCAGCTGGTTGTCAGCATCTCCCATCGTGCACTTGTATCCTCGTTGTTTTCCTGAAAAGCACAGCGTTGTTTCTGTTTCTTTCTTTCATTTTTTTTTGTTTTGTTTTGACGAACCTGCAGCAAGTTTGCGTCCATGAGCCCCGAGGCGGTTCGGGGGGCCATCTTGCTGACCCTGGTGGTGCAGAACTCCGCCCAGGCGATCTTCATGCGCTACTCGTTCAAGCCCAAGAGTCAGGTGCGGTGTTTGTGATGCGATGCGGTGCGGGTTGGAGCCCTTTCTGTGTTTTGCGACCTTAACGGTAATGAGATGGAACTTGATGCGGATGTGATTGGGTTTTGTCGTGTGTGTTACAGCGTGCCGTGCCGTTCCGTCGTATGAAGGACGAGGCGATTATTGGTTCCGTGCGCCGTTGGGCGTCCCGTGGTGTTGTGCTATTTCCGGTGCGATGCTCCGTGGCGGTTCTGTGACGCGGTAGTGTGGTGGCGGGGAAGGAAACATGCCATCACGACGTCCTGCTGTGACTTCACAGGTAGAGGAGAGAGGACAAAGAAGCCGAGTCCGGCGTCCTCGACCGGCCGTGATGATGGCCGAGCTGTGCAAGCTCGCCTGCTCCATACTCCTGCAGTACCGGGTAAGCCTGCTCTTTCCAGCACCTTGCTGTTGTTGTCGTTGTTGTTGTGTTTGTTGTTATCATTCACGTGGAGACTATCTTGTGGCTCTCTGCGACAGGAATAATGCCTGAACGAGATCTCGTTGACGCGTGCCGACCGATCAGTGCAGTACGAGACCCCCCCCCCTCCCCCCCCCCCGGGAATTGTCGCCATGCTAGGAGAGGTTGGAGGGTGTTATCGCTCAACAGAGACAAGCTAAAATGTTTGGGAGATACAGGCATGACGCGCAGCGAGAATATTGGGGTGTATGCGTAGGATACGGCAGAGACGTGTAGAGCACTCGAACGCTGACGTGTTCATTTCCCGAGTGTCCGGGGAGGAATGTACGGCGCCCCGCCTGTCTCGGAAGGGACGCGTGTCGCCAAGCAGTGAAGTCTAGCAACGAATAAGTGCCCCCTTCCCCCCGCCCTCCCCCTTCAGGACGACGGCAGCGTTCGGCACGTGGTCAAAACTCTCCGAGAGGACGTGTGGGAGAAGCCGGTGGAACTGCTCAAGATGGCCGTTCCGGCGTGCCTCTACGTGGTCCAGAATAACCTCAACTACGTGGCCATCAGCAACCTCGACGGGCCAACCTTCCAGCTCCTTTACCAGCTCAAGATCCTCACCACAGCCTTGTTTTCCGTGGTCATGCTCAAAAGGTGTGTTTTTTTGTGTTGTGTTCGGTGCCTACGGGCTCAGCGACGATTTGCGACTGACTCTTGAAGATGCGTTGGTGTTGGGGGCGTTGCAGTGAGTGAGGCTCGTCTTTTTTTTTTTGCTCGAGATGGTAGCGGTGATGGCTACGATTTTTGCCAAGGAGCAATAATCGCTCCCGTAGGGTTGTTTTTTGGGGTGCTCGCAACTCGCTTGCTGTACCGCGTCGCGATCGGCAGATCGACCACCGTACCTTTGCATACGTCCCTCCTCTTTTTATGTCGTCCGTGACTCCGGTGTGCCGTTCCGTCTAATGTACAACCGCCACCCCCGCCTCGACGTGACCCCGTGCTCGGCAACATTTTCTGTTTCCCACCGCACACACCCATCTTCCTCTCGACGGAAAAACACCGACAACCAACGCGTCAACGCAGGGTACTCCACATGAAGCAATGGGGCGCGCTGGCGATGCTGGCCCTAGGGGTAGGTCTGGTGCAGGTGTCGTCGAACTCGAGCAAGAGCTCGGGCGATTCCGAGGACGACGGTGCTGGCATTGACGACGCCGTGGGGGACGAGGACGGAAGCGGGCAAAACCCTCTCCTGGGCCTGGTGATGGTCCTCCTGGCTTGCTGCACGTCGGGCTTCGCGGGGGTGTACTTCGAGAAGGTGCGGATACCGCTGTACTCTCTCTTTTTTTTTTATCGAACGGAACGATCGCTCTTTTGCCTTTGCTCCGAATCTTCATCTCTGTCACTCTCTCTCGGTCCCTCCCTTCTCTCTCTCTCTCTCTCTCTCTCTCTCTCTCTCTCTTTCTCTCTTTATTTTCGTAGCTTGGCCACCCAACCAACCGCACGACCGTTGTGATTCTGAAAAGCTGACGCGGCGGCATTGTAGTGTGCACCCTCTCTCTGCGCTGCAATGTTGGTTGCCTTGGACCGTGCGCGCACTGCTGTTGGGATCAGACGAATTGGAATTTGTGGTGATCCGGGGCTTTTCTCTGGACGGGACGTTGTTCATGTCCAGGCCGCTCGCCTTCCGGCATGGGTTGTAGTATTTTGGCGCCGGGTTTTGGAGAATTGAGGACAGGGATTCAGTTACTTGATTTTGGAGCCTCGTGTGATGGTTGCTATAATAACCGTGGCCGCCCCACGTACGAGGCTGTACCCACCGCGTTCGTTTTGGAGGAGGTGTGCCCACGAGCAGAAAGCCTACGCTCGGCGTGTGGCAAATAGCCCTTTGTTACCACGGGCCGCCCCTCAGTGTCACGATCTTCTTCACGAACAAAGTTTGCTTTCGATGGCGTGGAGCATGTACCGCTTCCGGCTCCCGTTTTGTTCGGCAAAGAACCTGTCCCCCATCCCCTCTCTACCCCTTCTCCTAAGACCTAGGACGTTAATTTTCTCAATGTAATCGCCCCCCCCTTTGACGTGGTTGGTAACACCCCGGCGCCTCCTCGGTCTCGGCACGGTGAAGGATGAGATGGTGTCCTTCGGTGTTTGATGCATTCTTCAGCATAAGGCAACGATCGTCAACATCGGGCATCTCACGCCGCCCTCGCACGAAAACGTCGTTTGCCCGCTCATCTCACTCCTGCAGGTGCTAAAGGGAACTTCGGTATCGCTGTGGGTGCGCAACATGCAGCTGTCTGGCTTCGGTATCCTGTTGGGCGCGGGGTGCGTCTGGTTCAAGGACGGCCAGGCTGTGTCGGAGAACGGCTTCTTCTACGGGTGAGCGTCATCGCCTGACTGCCCTCTCTCCTCGCTGCTGCTGTTTAGTCGTTTTTGTTGTTGGTGGTGGTGATGATAGCTTTTTCTCGTCAAATATGACGTTATCGCCTGACTGTTTCTCTCCTCGCTATCGCTGTTTTTGTCGTTGTCGTTGTTGTTGATGGTGGTGGTGTTGTTGCTCGCCAAACCTGTAGTTTGGCAGCACGGCGGTGGAGATGAGTTCACGTGCTAGGACGACTCGTCTGCTGCATTCCGGGTGCTTCTGTTGGTTGTGCGTGGAAAAGCTGCTTTCCCTCGCGGACAACAACAACCATACCTCCGGCCCTCGTCCCCCGCCCTCGTTCTCTCGCCTCGATCTCCTTTTGCAGGTACAACTACGCCGTGTGGATGGCGATTTTGCTTAACTCCATGGGGGGGCTGGTGGTGGCGATGGTCGTCAAATACGCGGACAACGTCATCAAGGGGTTCGCCACTTCGGTCTCGATCGTGCTCACCGCTTTGGTGAGAGCTGAGACATTTTTATTTTGGTGTTTACAGCAGTGCCCGGTAGGGACAACACGCGCCCCTTCCTCTTGGGTAGTGCTGGTTTATATCCCCGGTGCCCCCCCCCCTCCGATGTCAAGTGTTCCTCTCCTCCTCCTCGGCCTCTGTCTCTGTCTCATTCCTCGCCCCACCGATCATCACGGCTTCGTTTTCATACCGTTGACAACCCCCGACTTGACACATGGCCTCTCTCTCCCTCTCCCCTCCGCCGCACGCAGATTTCGTTCTTCTTGTTCGAGTTCCAGATCTCCGTCATGTTCGTGATCGGCGCATACTTCGTGCTCCACTCCACCTTCTTGTACTCCCAGAAGCCCCCCAACGCCTCGAACTCCTCTTCGAACTCCTCCACTTCCTCCTCGACGGACGGGGGCGCCGCGGCTAAGGGTGCCAACGGCTCGGGGGAGGGTGACGTGGAGATCCCCGAGAAGGAGGTGCTCCTCAGGGGGGGTGGCGGGCAGGGTCACGTGTCGTCGTCGTCGTTGTCGTCGATCGAATCGCCCAGAAACGGGAGGACGAGCGGGCCTCTCGCGCGAAAGAGCAACAGCAAGCTCGCAGAGCCGGTGTAACGCGGGGGGGGGGGGGGGGATTCTGCTGGCGGTGGTAGTCTCGTAGATCCAAGCTTGGTGCTGTTGTGGCGACATGACTCCAAGGAACTGATGGGACGAGAGAACCAACAGCAGCAGCAGCGGCGGCGGCGGCGGAGGCAGCAGCAGTGTACTTGCAGCGCCATACACAACGCAATGTCGCACGTCCTTCCCCTAGTGTGTGGGGGGATATTTTGGAGCTACGGCATGGACTGGTCTGGCCATAGACAGAACAGAGCCGTAGGGCAGCAGGTGCACCAACTCCTTCGCGTGGTATTGGCTGAGTGTTACGACGGCCGACGTGAAAGGGCGGTGCAAGGAGCTTGGCACTAGAAGCGGCCGGCATAGGCGTCGCCAGCGGTGTAGCGATGCGGGCGAGGCTCTCGGGGGAGCCCGCAGAGCGGAGCGCACGCGGTTGGCCTTCCTGGCGTCTGCAGTGGAGGGTGTGCCGGCGAGCGTCAAGGAGGAGCGGAGGGAAGAGAAGTAGGGGAGCAAGCACGGCGTGCTCCAACCGCTGATGCGAGCTCACTCGCATTGTTTCAGGAAGCGGCGGAAGGGGGTGTACCGTGGGGGCGTGCAAGCTGTGGGTCGCGGGGAGGAGGAGGAGGAGGAGGCGCCGGGGCGACGCGGAATGTCCTCGTTGTCGCTGGGAACGTCGGGTCAGGTTCTTCTGGTGGGAGGGCGGATTACACCGAACGTGCTGTCTGACCATTAGCGGCGATCTGTGAGGGTGGCCATCCCGTTTTGTCGCTGGTTTGTCGGTTCCGCACCGTGTCTCAGCTTGCAACTGGTCTGTTGGCACAGACGAGGTTGTTCAGTGCACGTGGCTACCTCTTGGCCGTGTGCCACATCTTTTTTCGGTACGGGGCTGTACTGCCCACCCCTATTCTTGTCGCAAATCGGCCTGTAGGCCGGGCGACCGATTGGTTGGTGCAGCAGAGGACTGACACACCGGTGGTTTTACGTCGGGCTCTCGAAGTGTGCGGGTACGGTTTTTTCTGTGTTGCGCGTGTTTGGCGCCGTAAACATATTATTATTCATACCTTTTCCGTTCAATCCTGTCTTTTTTGGTGCTTGAGAACGCTGCAGGACGACGCAGGGCTTGGTTTTGCTTCTTGCTGGTCCCTAGAGAGCGTGTTTTGTGTTTGTCGTCGTTGTATCGCGAAGTAGTCCGTCCCGTCTCTTGTTTTTGAAGTCTGTGTTCGCTGGACGCCGCCACCAACCGTGGTTGTGAGGCTTGTGAAACCGCTGGCTACAATAGGGGTAGGAGAAACACCGGATTTCGTTTCTGTACAGCACGCACCCACCGCGGCAGGACAGCTGCCCCTCAGCGCGTGTTTGTGCCGTTCTCATTGGTCAACCGATTCGGGCGGGCGATGCTAGCAAAATGAGCACGGTGCTTCTAGAGCAGCGGGTTAACGCTACGACGGGGGAACAAACGCGTGTTTCACCGCGGGACAAAATTTGGTTGGGGGCGGAGCGTGGTGGGGCTTGCTCGTGAGCCCTGATGTGGAATAAAAGGGAGCTTGCTCGCGCTCCTCGTCGATTCAGTTGTTGGCGTTCAGTGCCCTGGTAGGAGCGGGAAAAGCGTCGTAAATAACATATTTTCATATTTTGGTGCCATTAGTTTTGGTTAGGTTGCGTGATTTCTCTCGTCGTTTCTTCCGGCCTTCCGCATGTCTTTGCGCGTGCATCTACCTCGCCCCGAAGGAAGTTGCGGTGTCGTCGACCTACAACAGTTCCGCGGAGTGGGTATTCCATTCCGAACTTGTGACTGCTGTCGGATGATGACCAAAGGTACCAACTTGTGGTGACATGGTGGCTCTTGTGTTGTTGTCAGCGGCAGCAACAGTATTTGTGGAGGTGCAGGGGAACCCGGCGCTCTCTGGTTATCTAGCAAAGCAGCAGCAGCAGCAGCAGCGCCAGCGGCGTTCGGCTGCGGAACCAACCACAGCGGCGGTGTCTTAAACCATTTTTGTAGTATTGCTTACGAGTTGTATGAATTGCACTGGCCTGTGTTTTTTTACCTTCGAGGGTCACGGAGAAAGCCTTGGAGGAACTAGGGACAGGACAGCCCCCGTCTGTGTGATGAGCGCCAGGTTTGTTGAAGGGTTCAGTTGTCAATTGGTCTTATTGGGAGTTACAGACGTTTTTTTTTTTTTGTGGTGACATGGGCGGGTTTGGAAAACCAAATATTACGACCGGCTCCGATACAATGGCTTGAAACTGTTTTCGGGCAGGTGTCCTTGCTCTTCTGTGCTTTGTAACGTATTATTCTGTTGGTCTCAAAGAAAGAGCTTCTTGCCGAATGTCGAGGCTTCCCAATACAACCAAGCAACAGCCACAAAAACCTGTTGCTGCAAAAGTGGGCTAGACATGACGACATATGTCGGTGCCAATGCAAGGTGCGACTACAGCGATAATTCGGGATAAAGAGCCGGGAACTTGCACGCTACATACAGTAGTGCCGAGAGAATCATGGACAGAGACGCATCGCCGACCTTCGCTGGTTTTTTTTCGGAGTTGAAAGAGCGAGAGAGGCATGGCGGACCAACGACGACCGCCAGTAGTCGCTACTGAAGCCGTTGGAGGTTCCCTGCCTAACCAGTTGTTGCTTGCAAACAATTGGTTGCAACATGTTTTTCTTCCGGCAGTTGTCTGCAGACGACTCTTTTCATAAAGGGTTAACATTTTCTTGCAGCGGCTGCCGGTGACAACCTATAACTGACTAGGCTTTTAGACCAGCGCCTGGACAGAGACCAGGTTAGTACGTTTGAGCGTTACGCGAAACGTGGTCTGTATTGACCTCAAGTCAAGCATACATGGCGCCGTTCAGAGCTAACCCTGAAACGCCATTTCCACACTTTGTTGGAATGGAATAAATTCTCGGTCGTTGACCATCATCATCGACTTCACCCGCTTCCTGTCCGATTAACACAAACAAAAACGAAGTCAACGGATGTCAGACTCGCGCGACCACCACGTCACCTCCAAGCTCTAATTCTCTCTGTGCGATGTGTTGCTGGCCACACACACGCACACACCAAAACTTCCATCTCACCCTGCCGTAGACAAAACGACCGACCAGAATGGCACGACCCCCCCCAGGCTACAATAGCCAAGCAGAACACGCAAATCGGAAGAAAAAAAAAATTCCACACTTGACGACTGATCGCCTCAACACAGCTAGCTGGCTGTACGTGACAAAATTTCAAAAATATTGTTGCAAGTACCCGGCAGGGCGCTCTTGGCAGCTACACATTCGCACCACAACCCGAGTTTCGCAACACAAGATTGGAGAGCACAAAAAACGCGGTCTTCCATGGATAATAACCACTTCCCACGGTCTCAACTAGCCAAAATAAGCCCATTCACAAAATCGAATCCACCTGCACCACTTTGTACAAAAGAGCAGATGCACCCGGCCGGCCTCCAGCGCCACCAGGACAAATATATTCCCAACGTTGGCCCCCGTCTTCTCAATGAAATAAAACAACAACGAACGACACACACGGCGGTGCCTGCCACCTTGATACAGGCCACCCGCAGCCAGCCGGCTTCACACTCTAACAACCGGAGGCCAAGCACCGGCAAACCGCCAACTCAATTTTTTCGCATTTACTTCTGTCCTTACATATTGGGGACGGAAGGCTCTTTTTTCACACTCGTGATCCCTCCCTACGACTGCTGTGATGCAATGGGGGGCTAACGCGTTGACTCGTTTTCGCCCCGTACACATCACGAACGCGGTGGAGCCAGGTCACGGTTGTCGCACCAGCCTGCCAAGGTCATCCGCCTCCGCCGCTGCTCTCAGCTTCTGAAGGCTGCTGTCGAACAGGCTCTTCGTTCTCGCGACGCTCAGGGAGAGCTCCTTCGAGCACTCCGCCATCGTCATCGGCTTCCCGTCCGACAGCCCGCACGCCATCCGCACGAGGCTCGCCTGGCGGGGCGTGAGCACCCTCGGGAGGAGTTCCGCGATATCGCCGCCCGCCGAGCGCGGCTGGCCGTCCTCGAGGTCCCCCACGAGGGTGTCCACCAGGGGCACCATGGTGCTCCCGTCGCTGGCCCGGATGAGCCGGTCGATGCTGGTAACCTTCTGCACCGCCGACAGCAGGTTAAGCCGCCTCCTGCGCGTCCTGGCCTGCTGTCGCGCCTCTCTGTCGCTGGAGGCGGCCTTGACCGCGAACTCCCCGTCAGTCACGGCCCTGGCGCGCCTCCCGGCAGCCGTTGACCGGCCGCGGTCCCCATCAGCGCCACCGCGACGGATTCCACCATCCCCGGCCGACGCCGCCGGCTCGGCATCGCCCACCACCACCACCCCGTTCGCGAAGAAGTTGGCGAGCTCCGCCTCGGAAGGGGTCCGCCCCAACCGGCCGGTGAGCTCCCGCCGGGCGCGGTGCACCTCCTTGAGGGCCGTCGCCGGCACGCTGATCGCGGAGTTGCCGCGGGCCAGCGCAACGTCCAGCTTGTCCCGCACCGTGTACAGCGCGTATGTGAGGAAGCGGTTGGGCATGGTCGGGTCGAACCGCTCCGCCGCCACGCCGAGCGCGTACGCGCCCTCCTGGAGGAGGTCGGCGAAGGAGACCTGGCCGCCGCGGAGGCGCCACCGGTACTGCCCCTCGACCATTCGGATGACCATCGGCATGTTGCGCTCCACCAGCGTCTGCTTCGCCTCGATCCCTTCCTGCAGGACGCGCGGCAGGTCCTCCACCTCCACCCCGGCCTCCCGCGCCCACGCCCCCATCGTCACCGCCGTCCCTGCACCGCCGTCTGCAGATCGTCCGTCCCCCAAAGCCCCCTTTTCTCCCCTTCCCGCCGCCGTCGCCGCCGCTGCTTCCAAGCCTCGCTGAATATCTCTCAGCGTCCGTGCGTTCTTGATCTTGGCAAGCAGCGCTCGCTCCTCCTCTGTCGTGAGGGCCGGTGTCCGTCGCGCTCCTCCCCGTGCTCGTCGTCCGCGCGTCGCGCCCGCCCATGCGTCGGCGTCGGTGGCGGTGGCCGCCGGGGGCTCCGCGGTGGCCGATACCATGGCCAGGTGGTTTCTCCGTAATCTAATCGGGCCATCGCGGCCGCCGACAGGGTTCTTGCTACCGCCGACACTGCCGCGTTGACGGACCGTCGTCGCAGAGGCGGCTGCGGCGGCGGCGGCACTGTTGATCCCGTAGAACCCTCCACGGCAGCCCGCTGGCGTCACGAAGCCGGCGGAGAGGGATGTAGCCCCGGCAAGACAAGCGACGCCCAGGGCTCTCGTGAGAAACGGGCAAGTGTTGGGCGATGGTCGCGTTGGCCGTCTTCTCCGCGCTTGGGACCCCATCACCAAAATTTGCTCGTAACGGCTGCTCCTGCACACGGACAGCAGAGATGCAAAGAGGGGGGAAGCAGCGGAGGACGGGGGGGGCGAGATAAGGGAAGGGTGGCAGGCACACTGGAGATCGTGTGCGGTCTTTGAGCACAGAAGATGTATGGACCAATCTATTCCCGCATTAGAGTTGGGAAAAAGTTGAGTCGACGGAACAAACGAGACAAAACAACTTCAGTCTTAGTGGGTGGTCGTGGTTGCGAAAGAGTCCCCCCGTGAATTCGCCAAGTGCCTGTCGGTCACCCAGATTGCGTGTGGACGTTGTGGCCGACCAAATACATATTACTTCAGTTGGTGGAGCGGGATAAAAACAGAGTAATACCGCCCATTCGAAGCCTCGTACTGTATGCATATAATAAGTGCGCAATTTTCCAACTAGTGCTATATTTACAGCATCCATCGTGCAAACTATTGACTATACATTGTAGCTTCTTCCAATAAGGAGACGACATCCGTCTTTTACATTGTACAAATTCGGGATACGCGTGTGTGAGTCAACAGCTACATGCCTTCGATTCATTCGACCGCTTGTCCAACATGCAGGCCTCTCACGCTACAGGCACCCTGCCAATTCGCCCCGTACGTAGCCCCACGGAACGCAGCAGTGGTTACACATAAACAGCTGGTATTGTCTACGACTGCTGCTATTATAGACAGTTTGATGCGACTCAAAATCAAACACAATCGACAGCAGGTGCATACTTGTACATCACAGCTGTTCCAGAACACGCTGCACACTCTGAACCCTCCACCAGCATTGATTCTATTGTATTGCCGGGAGGCTTGATCTAGGCAGATAATAGGAAAAGCGAGCAACTATACCGTAAACATTTGAGGTGCCATTGCTCTGCGGCTGTGTCTCAAACGCGGCTCAGACCATGGGTTGTCCCTCAGACTCTCAGACTCCATCTTGCAGGGTACATGTAGGCTTGCTCACCTTTCGCCCTTCTGAGGTGTCACCAGCCCGGGTCTCGCCGCGGCGGAAGACAAGCTCTGATAATGTCGCAGAGGGAACCTGGATGGTCAGCTGTGATCCGAGAAGATGCCTATGTGCTCTCGAGGGGCCACTGTTGCGTAAATAACTGGGCGTTCGCTCTCGCTTTGACAGGTGGCTAAAAGTATACGTGAGATGATGCGTGCACGGCGTGTGCCAATCTGAGCGCTTTTTTTTTTTTGAGATGACAGGGTGCGGGGTTGACTCGGTTGACACATGACACACGATGAGTCATCGAGAGAATGACGTCATGAATTGTTTATGTATTTTTCTTTTTGAACCCCACCGCACCCCCTCCCTCCCATATAAAAGGGGGCCCCGCGTCGCGCATCTTTTCATCGTCGCGCACGGTAAAAAAAGGAAGCACAGCTGTCTGTTTCCGCCTCTGCCGCTGCATGAGGTGGAACGTCTCGTTGCTGGCTGCGGAGGGCCTCCTCGTCGGGGCAACGGGGTGGTCGTCGTGCAACCCCCTCGCGTTCTCTCCTCCGTGCGAAGCCTGCGCGAGCTTCAGGCGTCCGCGAGCGAGCCGTCATCAGGCGGAGCGAAAAAAGCAGCAGCACCAGCAGCAGCAGCATCAACATCGGCGTGTTGAGTTCAAAGGATTTCGTCGAAGAAGGGTGTTGCATACCACCATGGCTGCCGCGGCCGGCGACGGCGGCGGCGGGGACTGCGGCGATCGGCCGAACAAGAACTATAACAAGGACGCTTGGCAGCGGAGAGCGAGCAGAGCGATGAAATACGTCTCCATGCCGATCGTGAAAATGGCCGGGCAACCCAGAGAGCAGGTAAAAAATAGTTCCTCTCTGCCCACCGGCATACACATTAATCCGCCCCAGGCCCATTGCAAAGAGAGATAGAGATAGGAGGGATAGCGATGGGGAAGCTTGCCTCGGTCCGTTTAAACCGAAGCAAGGAGTAATATTTGCCAGCGAGCTGCCAAAAGGAGAGGTGCTAGAATACTGTAGTATTTCTCTCGAGACAAGTGTCACCTCAACCCGCCGTTGTGAATGGACTTTCGGGGTCTTCGGAACACGGGTGCCGGTATCCATGCATGAGAGATCTCAACTCTCGTAGGCAATACTGCCTTGTTTGACAGCAGTAGTTGCTTGCACAAATGGCGGGTATCGCAGGCGCTCCCCGCAGCATTAGGCTGGTGTGGGACCTTGATGAAAGGGGCTCCCAGCAGTCCGCTCAGCGCACGTTGAAGGAAACATTTGCACGCAGTTCTGTCGCCTGTTGCTCGAGAAAGCACTGCTGCTTTGTCGCGGCCGTGTTTGAATGGTAGATGCAATTAGCAGCAGGTTCAAGTAATGTGCCCATCGCGAAACCACAGCGCAAGAGGAGCAAGCAGCAGTGTCAGTAGCAGCAGGTCGAAGGCATGTTGATGACGGTGTATTATAATTTGGTTCAATTCTGTGGGTCATTACTATTGACCCTACCACGTTGCTCAAATACTTCGGGCTCTCTTGTTCAACATGTGTAACGGCGACATGCTTCTTTTTCCCGTTCTCCATCCTCTGCTCGGTCCCTTCTGACATCCGTACTGGTCCAACTGACGCGTACGCCTTCCGTGGTCCACAGGCTGTAGTTACCAAATATGAGTACAAACTAAGAAATAATAAAGAGAGATAGATACACGGAAGGACCCAGAAAATCGACACAAACGCCAACATAGGCGTATAATAGGAACAAATATTGTTCATGTGCGAAAGGCCGAGAAGCGGCATGTATGTTGTAAATACGAATGCATGCATGTGTATTTGGAACACCTGGAAGGGGGGTCTGGTTTATGCCCCATGAGGGGGGTGATAACACTTACCGACGTCATCCTGATACTCCGTTCACGCTCATCCGTCAGCACTTGCGCACCGAAGACATCCAAGTCGGTCATGTGTCACATCCAAGTCACGTCTCTTCTCTCCGATACCCGGGTTTATCAGCTTATTCTTGAGTCACAAAGCGGACAAACAAACACCTGCAATGGCATCACCTAGCGGCCATTATACACATGCTGCCCCGTTGCCTCTCCCACGCCCCCCCCCGTCGTGTTTGTCCCCGCTGCAGATCATGATTGCAATGCCCTTCCCGGCGGCTAACGCCACAGTACATTTTTCGTTCGACACTCTTCGACGAACGACGCTCATCACGCCCACGGCGAAAGACGCATTGGGGGTGTTGGAAGGGCCTGGGATTGGGGGGCAGCCGGATTTCGGGGCGTGCGTCGAGCTGCCAGCTGCGCGGATAGGGCACGAGCACGGGGACCACTACCTGTTGGTCATGGATGCCGTGGTGGCCAATAGCGAGCAGGCAAGTATTAGATTCATCGTGCGCGCTGTTGCCGTAATCTATATCGAGTTCCACTATTTTCACGGGATGCATGGGATGGGTGTGTCCAGGTGGGATGGGCTTGTTGCGGGGGTGGTCCAACTGGGTCGGACAGGGGGCAGCGCGAAGGGGTGCTAGTGGCACACTGCTGTTGTGTACACACATGAGTTAATGGTTCTTAGGCAAACGGCCTGTTGGTGTGAATTCGTCAAAATTCGAACTCATGTCCAAACGGTAAAAACACTGCGAGGTTTTCAGTCGAAAGCCGCGGCGTACCCCGGCTACATGTTCTTTCGCTTTGAATTTTTTTCGCCCTACCCTTCATTTGTTTCTGAACTTGCCCATCTATAACTTGTGTTTCTCCGCGAGTGGCGGGACGTACTTTTGCTCTCTTGTTTTGTTCACACTCCTTGGATAGCCTTCAATTCAACTCCATGGAAATTCTGTCACTTTTCCTCCGAAGAGCAGAGAAGAAAGGGCAAGCACAGGATAGAAATTCAGAACGAACGGTGTTTTCGAGGTGCTAGCAAAGCCAACCAAGGTCAACACCCCAATTGTCTTTCCTCCAATGCGTCTCCTCCAGGTGAAGGTCTTGGGCCCGAACACGGGAGGCGTGCTCGGACTGGATTTTTTGAACAGGTACGACCTCGACCTTAACTTCGAGACGAACGAGGCGAGGTTTTACGTGGCGGGCGCTGTCGACCAGGGGTTGGTGGACACGTCGTTGTTGGAGGGGCTCAAGTGCGGAAGCCTGCCGGGGGGAAAGCTCGCCATCAAGATGGAGCTGAACGGGTGAGTGAGCGCGGAATAGTGCTGGCGTCGTTTTTCTTGTTTCGAGGCTGGTACGTGCGTGGCGTATACCGACGCGGGTCGATCCTGCCGTCCAAGATATGTGGTTTCCAGAAAACCGTTTGACCACGCTGGAGCGAAACGGGCGAGTGTATCAGCCATTGTGTCGCAATGCTACAATCAAGGTGTTGTGGCGGGTCGTTGGTGAGGTTTTCGTGAAGACTCAAATCGGATACTGGGGAGTCAACTCGGCACACGACCATGACGTACCTGTTAAATTGCCCGGTCGTCCCCTGCGAGCTGTGGGTTGTTTGAGTACTATTGAAGTCGAAATCAAAACCATTCGACTTGACTAGCCTAATCGTCGCTTTACTTCGAACTCTATAGTACTCCCACGTTTGGGCGACGCAACTCACTCCCTGCTTTCCCACGGCACAAAGACGCCACCCATCAACCAGGAGCATTGTGGTTCCGGGAGGGGTGGCTGTGAGAGCGCAGCATAGCATTTTAGGGCTCCCTGCGTCCGTCTGGTCTGGGCAATCTGTTTTGCTGCGATGGGACCTATTGCGTCGAGGGGTGGGGTGGGGGGCTGGGTGGACTGCCTTGCAGGTCTCAATAACGTTTGTGGCGTCCGAAATACGTTCGTTTGGTTAGTGGTCGGGTACCGACAGATGCCGCACATGTATCTACTGTCCAGTTGTCTCGGTCTTTTATTTTACGCCACGGTCACCCTGAACTTCGCGCGGTTGCAACAGCCAGTGCGTGCCCCCCCCCCCCCAGAGTGCAATATAGACAACGCGGAACGTGTGGCAAATGTATACTGACACCTTAGGGCCTGTTTTATCGTAAAAAAGTTGTTGGCGTTACCCTTGACTGGACCGCATGTGGCACACTGGCCGTGCGGCCCCCACACGTATCCCCCACTGCCCGCTGCTGGGAAATAATAGCTGTATTGCAATGATTGTGTGAGCGTTTCAACTTTTCGCGCTTGTTGGGTTGCTGTGGAGGTTTCTTTCCGTTTCCAATATGTGCGATGTCAAAAGGTAAACGGCCGATTGTGTGCGGCGAGACAGTCCAAATAAGTGTTGTAGAGCAAGCCTGAGGATGAGGCTTGGACCGCTGGCACCGCCTGCTGATGCTTAGCTTCGTGTATGTGCTGATATATTTTTACAGCTCCCGTGTGGTGCACATGGTCTATCGCTCTACCTGGTTGGTCACAACGTCACCTCGCGGCAGCAATTCCGCCGCATTTGGGTGCTCTTTCTTTGTTTGTATTTATTTTTCCTAGTAAGTGTTGCTGAACCTCGATGTGGTAAAATTACGTTAGAACGACGCAAGCCCTTTTTGCCCAAAAACCCAATTAGGTCCATCCAAATTGGGTCCTCAATTTAGGTGCAACTTTTTAACGTTAGAACAGGTCCTTATTTGTCTGATTGATTATTGTCCCCCCGCCGGAGGCTGCGCCAACACGCCGATTTGTTTTTGTATTTTTTTTCCTCCTGTTTGTCACTGATTCCCCTGCCTATTGATCAGCGGAGGCCCCTTCACGGGGGTGTTGGACCTTGCCTCGTCAACAACCGTCGGAAATTGGCTGGCGGCGCGAGATCTGGATGTGACTTCCATGGCGTCAGGGCAGAGCAGCAGCTATCCCCAAGAGACCGGGCGATCGCTCCCTCTCATGTGTGCCCAATTTGACACGGTGAGTCGAGGGCGTGGGTTCTTCTTCGAAAGGCTACTTGGCACTATCGCCGGCTCTTTCATGCATCGATCCAAAAGCGGTTTCGAGCGCAAACTCTATCATCGCGTCCGACAAGTCTACGTATCTAGCAAGTGACCAGTAAGCCAAACGCTCAGGGACAAGTGCAGTACCGGGTACATTTACACAACACAAGAGACTCGGGGTGGGATAAGAGCACGAGAGATTAAAAAACGTTCGTGTTGATCACTCACGGTCTCGCTTCATTCCTGCACTCGCCTCTCTAAACAACAGAATTCCCCCCCGTCCTCAAAAACACGACATTCAGATTCAGTTGGGCCACGTTTTGCTGGCGTCCGTCGTGGACGCCAAGACCGCTAGCGAGGGAAGGCTGGCGGTGTACGTGGGACACCTGCCCGTGTTCGACTCGATCGCGAGGGACATCTCGATCCGCGAGCCGCGAAGCAGGCAGCTGGCGCTGGTCGGGCAGGACCTCATCGGGCACACCCGCATCGTCCTCTCCTGTCGATCGAAGCGCCTGTACTTCGCCCCGCTGGAGGCGAACGACATTTGGGCGGGGCAGGTCGTGTGAATTGAGTTGTTGATCCCCTTTTTTCGACCGATCCTGTTATAAAGAGAGGTTTGTTTTGTCGTTTGCTGTTTTTGTTCCGTAACGTGGGTTGGGTGAGTGGCTCGGTGGTGCTGGCTTTTTGACCCGATCAAGCCTTCCTTCCGGTGGCTTCCGAGATCGGGCTGCTGCTGCTGCTCTCTTGTTCAAATTAGTAGCGTAAATCCTTGAATGGCGATTGGTTCTTCTTTTGAACGATATGTATTGCGATTGTGTGTAGACCATGTTACTCGTTTCCTGTACAAGCGGACGGAGGGTTGCGTGTTTGGTGGTTGGATGTGTGTGGGGAGGTGCAGAATGGTGGCACGTGTTGTCGAGGTGACGGCGGAGCGCGCGTATGTGCACTTCTGTAGATGCGGGAAGTGTTGAGCTCTGTGTATACCATGAGCGCGGACGATTGAAGGTTGGTATCAGATGTACAAAAAATGACAAGCAAACCTCTAGGGTTTGCATACAGTGGGAAGAATGGATGGATGGGCGTTTTCTTCCCTTTTCCCGGCGTCTTGGCGGTACTGCCGTTACACTTCTAGTCTACGCTGCATTCGGCAGCTGGCAAGAAGGTTGGCCGTCTCGTCGTTAATTAAGAAAGGAGGAGGTAGTGACTGCCTCAGCCGTAATGGCGAGGCCAGATGATAGAGTACCTTTTTTATGACATAGCTGGTCGACATCGGATCGGTTGTCGAGATGTTAATTACTACACTGGCTTAGGTTCGACGGTGTTCAGACTACGGAGATTGATGAATGCGCCGCGTTTCATTTGTCAGGGAAGCGATACAAATTCTGCAGCGTGCGGGGTGTTCCCTGATTGATTGTGTTCTGTCCCCTCATTCTCTTCTTTGCTGCAAGAAACTGCTGTAGAACAACACCGCCGCTGTTGGTTACATAGTCGACGTAGACTGCGTGCCCTGGATGGGTATGATCATGTGAGCTTTGCGTTTGTGTGGAAAACTTACGTCCTGCTTGATGCTTAGTGGTATGCTTTAGAAGAAAGCACGAACGGAAACTTGACACATTTCAACCTTTCTCGACGGCCCTCTCACAGCAGTGGGCGCGTGTTTTGCGGCCATGATGACGGCAATCCCTCCCACGCGAATTCGTGTCATGAAAGACACAACAACGCACCCAAACACCAGAACACCCTAACAGAACAACAACATAGCGCATGAAGTCGGTCCAAAGAACTGAACCTACACGATATTTTTGTGTGTACCAGCTGGCTGGCGTGTTTACCCTCCTCACTGGCTCTTTCGTCGAACATAGATGATTGTCTGGATGGATCTATTAGCACGACTGACGCACCGACTTTCACGTAACTGCATGTGTACCCGTGCCCCCCCACCCCTGCCTGCACGGATGGTGTTGGGTTCTATCGTACGCGGCATGATCTATGGTGATGTAGATTGTGTGGATGGTTGGACAAAAGCAGGGATCTCGTGACTCGTGACACATACGATGAACCAACCCTGGCAAAGATATGACTCGTTGGTTTGGTGACTCATCATGCTACGCAAGCACGGTGCCCCCAGGCTACCGTAGATTGCGGAGATTCACGAAGACGCAGCTCAAAAACAAGGTTCGAGGTGAGTCATTTTTGTTGCCACGATCAACCCGTCCGCGCCCAGGCAGCACACCGGCAGCTCACTTCCTCGTAACACGTTTCATAGAGGCCTCGCCAATGGAACGCAGAAACACAGTAGGAAGGGGGATGGCACATGGGAGGCGAAGACGACGGCAATGTTGCCTGATCGGAGCCGCTTTTTTTTCTGCCGGGAGCGGCGGCAGTAACAGCGCCGTCTACGCGTTTGGGTACGTGGGCGGTCTCTCTCAGCAGCAGTCGTCGAGCCGGTGGCTGCGAGTTGCAGGGGGCGGAAGGGGAGCAAGCAGGCGGTCCAGGGTGCCATCTTCGCCGGCACAAGGGAAAGCTCTCTTCGCGACGGCACGACGAAGAAATGCATTCGTCGTCGAAGGAGGCGGGGCAAACCCAGTCACATCGTCGTCGACTACAGACTGGAGAGACTTGACCAAGGAGGTGCGTTTTTGCGCTGGGGGGGCCCACGGCGGTGGCTGTGCCGTCTTTCGTTTCGGCTACTGCTGTGCCGCTGTGTCTCTATGAAGTTGGGAGACCAAGCAGGGTGCTTTCGTGCTTTCCGGCGAGGGATGGCGAGCTTACGGATAGTCCGCGCATCATTTGCACCGCTACAACTTGTTGAACTCTGACTGTACGGCGCGCGGCAGAGCTGACTACTGTACACCACCCAGGAGTATGTAAGAGTACGTTGTGTTGGATGCGAGCCTAAGGAGAGACAATTTTTACAACACATGCCCAATATCACAGATAGACTACCCATTTGCACGGAACCACGACTATTGCACCCTTTCCGCCACGACCTCTCAAAATGCTAATAGTAAGTTAAATATAATCAACACTTGGCACCCGCATCATGAACACACTTAAATAAATAATTGCAGGAGGAGACGGCGCTGTGCGAGCTGATAATCGAAAACAGACGAATCCAGGACCTCCAGGTCGAGCTGGAACGGAAGGAATCGAGACCGGTTACCGTACAGGAGTGGGCGGTCGCTGCGGGGCACCCGAGCGCTCATCAGCTCATGGCCGCGTTGCAGGAGGGCAGGAAGGCCCAGCGGACCCTGGCGCTCTGCCACCAGGGCCTCGTGCGGAGCGTCGCCTACAGGTGCGTGGTGGAGGCGATGACGGGACGCCGGACCGCCGAAAGAGTCAGCAAGATCACATCTGTTTGCTGACGCATAAGGCGCCGCCCTGCCCCAGCACCCAACACTCTAGCTGAACAAATGTGTACGTAGCGCTGGGGGTATGTCTTGTGTTACATTCAACGGCGATGCCATCCTGGAACGGGTGATCATTAGATAACGATGTTTCACTTGTCCATGTACGGCTGAAAGCAGTGCCCTACCCAAACGAACCACTCAATACTTGTAGCCCGCCGGCATCCTCAAAACGTGTGCTCCCCGAGTTGATCGAGATAAACATGCAATCTCGTAAACAACCCCACCCTGTGCACTGAGTCGGCACATAACTAAATAGCGGTTTAGTCCCGTGATTCACGAACCCGGGCCAAATCTACCACCACCCGAACTAAACTCCCGCACTTCGTTTTTGCTCCCCTTTCTTGTCTCGACGAACGAAATTTCTTCCCCACTCGGCTGGCTACGACTGCCTGTCTCGGACGACCACTCAGATATAAGCAGGTGTCCCGGAACCTGTCCCTGGACGACCTCACCCAGGAGGGCAACGTGGGCCTCCTCGAGGCCGTCGAGAAGTTCGACTCGACCAAGGGCACCCGCTTCAGCTCGTACGCGGTGTTCCGCATCAAGGCCTCCGTCCTTCGCGCCATCGCCGACAAGGACCGCCTCGTCCGCGTCCCCGTGCACGCCCAGGACGCCGCCATGCGCATCCTGGCGGCCTCGCACGCCCTCCAGCTCGAGTCCGGCGGGGACGTGCCCACCGACGCCCAGCTGGCCGTCGCCCTGGGCATGCCCGAGGCCAGCGTCGCCCTCTACCGGAAGTCTCTACTACCCCAGAACATCGCGGACTTGGATAACCCCGCGCTGCCCAGTTCCCCGCAGGGGAGAGGTGGCAGCGGCGCCGCCGGAGGCGGTAGCCTGGGAGGGAGGGTGGGCGGGGAGCAGTGGCCGTGGGAAGCGTCTCAGCTCGCCCAGGCGCACGTGGTCCGACGGGACATGATGAGGGCCATGCAGGCCTGCCTGTCTCCGACGGAGGAGAGGGCGCTGCGGCTGAGGTTTGGGCTGGGAGGGGCGGAGAAAGAGGGGGCGGTGGCGGACGGCGGTGGCGCGCTGACCTTCAAGGAGATCGGGAGGACGATGGAGCTGAGCGCCGAGGGCATCCGGAAGATGGTGTTCCGGTCGATCGCGAAGCTGCAGGCCTCGGACGAGGCCAACGGCCTGCTGCTTTCCTACGCCGACCTGATTTGAGTTCTTCGTTTGTTCCGTTTGGTCGGTGTCGAGAGAGAGAGAGAGAGAGAGAGAGAGAGAGAGAGAGAGAGAGAGAGAGAGAGAGAGAGAGAGAGACAGACAGACAGAGAGAGAGAGAGAGAGGGGCTGAGAGACAGCGCGGTGCCTTGCGCGACTCGCCCGTGTCGACAATTTTGCGTTATTTTGTGTCCATTGTTTTGTGGCTGAGTCTGTATCCTTCGTTCTAAGCAAAGCACTTTGGACCGTGGTAGTATGTGTGTGTGTGTGTGCGTGCGTTGTATGCTGTTTCACCGGGTGATCCTCTCGGTTGTACACAAATCCCCGCTCGGTGGTGGGGTTGTGATGATCCCGTGTCGCGTGCTGCGCATCACGTGATTTTGTAAGTTTGTCTTTTGAAGGTGCGTTTTTGTGGCCTGGGGGCAGAGCATGACAGCATGGAGTTTGGTGAGGAAAGGTTGGCAGCAGTGGTGGGAAATGTTTTTTCCTTTCCGCCGCTCCTCGGCAGGAAGAGAGAAATATGCTAAAAGCAGGACGGGGTCTGCATAACTCAAAACATGATGAACGTTGTTGATGTTGTCGACGTCCACGATCTGATGCTCCAAGCGCTCGAGAAAATGCGTTGCAACTCGTTTCCTCACACGGCGGAGCGTTGCTGAAGCGGCCTAATCGGCTCGCGGAATTTGGGCACACGTATCGTGCAAGCTTGAACCCGAATCCTTCACGGTGTTGTTGTTGATCAATACCACCAGGGCAGGCAAGTGTGTTCGTTGAGGTCGTCCTTTCTCGATTGGAATTCCCCCGCATCGGAGTGTGGAATTGAACACAGTGGAGGAGGACAAGCCACACTCGACCATACCCACATGCTGAAACTCCGACCAAGGTGTACGCCTAACACAAGTCGTTTACTCTTCGAACTCGCCACATGTCACAAACTTCCTTTGGGATTTTTCCCTCAAATCATCTGGAAATACAGTGGGGCCTCGACCGCACTCCACAGTATAGTTCTGTGACCGATCCGACCTTTTCCACGGGTGGATGGGTTGTTCGTTTCCCCCCCCCATAGAACCAGTTTCGATGTGTTTTCTGTGTCACCACATGCGAGGCGAAAAGCTTGGTTGTCGCCCATGCAGCGGGGTCCCTCTGGACATTGCTTTCGGGTGTTGTAGAAGTCAAACTATCAATCCACTCTTCACGATTTCGACTTTCACGCGTTACTCACTGGCGTTAGCACGTGCCAGCTGCAACAGCCATCCACCGGCCGTCGAACATCAGCATTGCGGCATGTTGTTGCTGCATCGCCCAAAGCAGCAGCCTGTCTCCAGGGGGTGCACACTGGCCTAGTTGCCGCCAGCGCCGTCGTGGCCTACAAGACCCCGTCACGTGCGTTCAACCGGCACCCGAGTAAACCAACTAACAGTACGCTTCTTCGCAAAGATTAAAACAAGTCGTTGCGTTCGCGTCCCGGACAGAAAAATGTCTCCAGAAGAGAAGCTGCTACAAGTACTACTACTTCAGGCCTGGACGGACGGCAGACCACTAACGTAATCAGATGCGCGTCGAGAACCGGGGGATTGTATTCATAGGTACCGAACTAAATTTCTTTCCATTCTACTGAATTTAATTCCTTTCCACTCCACTTCTTCCATTCCATATTTACAAAAGAGGCGAGACAGAATTCGCCGGTCAAACAAAAATAACTCCAGAAGCGCCTGGCCGTGCCTCGACTCTTTTCTCTTTGACACCATCAGAATAGCACCCGACCACCCAACCACGCAGCTGCGAAATCTAACGGTGGCTCCCCAAGTCACCCAATCCTGCCGCCCTCACGCGCTTCCCTCCACCACCATCGGGAGAGATCCGAATCCCGACCCCAACAATGATTATGATACACGGCAAAGCAAACTGCCCGTCCCCGTCCTCTGACCGTGCATGAATTTCTAAAAGCCGGCCCACACGCCCAACAAAACACTTCAAAATCGCGCAGCAGTTTTTTGTACAAAAAGAAAAGAAAGGGGCCGTCACCGCCGGTCTTATCAATATCTTGGTAGATACCTTCCTTTGCAAATGAGACTAAATCCGACAAGACTTGGGCGCGCGCACAGGCGATGCCTGTCCAGACAACGGTCAAACCGCCAAAATGAACGAAGCACCCACCGAAAACCTCCTGTCTTGAAGGCCCAAACACGAGCGAGCGGGCGCGGACCACGGCAATACCTGCGGCTGAGGCGGCACCGTCGTGTGGTTGTGCTGGGGACGAGGGGGCTCTTTGAACAAACCCAATAACGATGAGGGAGACACGCGCCAAAATCAATTTGAGCCGCGGGGGCGGAGGGGGATGTCGCGCCTACCACTCCGAGAGCCCACAAGCTTCTTCTCAGACATGCCAATACTCTCGAAATTCTAGGAACAAAAGACATGCCAAGACTCTCGTAGGGACTAGACTATTTCGGACACATGACAACGCCGGATCCCACACGCGAACAAAAGCTTCGTCACAAGCTCAACGCGGGCGTGGCAACTCGTCGCCGACCACGCCCAATCAATCGGCGTGGAAACACCAGAAAGCTCCAAGCAACAGAGCCTCGCGGAAGCGAAGGCTTTCGAGCAGGGCCCAAAACGCCGATGAACGCGAAAAAAATACGAGGAGCAAACGGCAGGCCGATCTAGTTCCCTCTATCACCGTCACTGCCATCGGTGTCCGGGAACGTCTTGTGCAGGAGGAGATGGCGCTGCCCGATAAAGCCCCCCGAGAGGCCGAGGCTGTTCGTGAAGGCTCGGTTCGAAGCGGAATTCGGAGCCTCCTCGTAGCCGCACCTCGCGTAAAGCCGCAAGGCTGCCTGGTTGATCTCGTTTACGTGAAGAAACACCTAGAACATACATCGAGGGGATGGGGGGGGGGGGAGACGGCGAGTCGTGTGGCTTGTTTTGCCGGGAGCACGGACCCAAACACACAACTGCAGGCTACCACGCCTCACCACCACAAAAAAACAACAAATGCACAAGTTAACGTTCGCAAAACTCAAGGTGGGGGAACTCGAAGTACGCCATAACTAAACGTTACGCTACTTCCTGCCCTAGCTCTCTCCGCCCCTGGTAAGGTGTCGAACGTTTCGAAGGGGTGGTCGAATTCGTCAGGTTGGCTAATAGATCCAGAAGCGCCGGGCAAGGACTCTCTTGCTTGCCCCGGTAAACGTTCGACACCTTACCGGGGGCGGAGAGAGCCACAGCAGGATGTCGCTTAATTCTGACGTACTTCGAGCTCCCCCACCAATGAGTTTTGCGAACGCTAACTTGTACAGATGATCTACCCAAGCACACGAGTACCCTTCGCAGGTTGTTGGATTGAACAAATATGTTGGACAAAGAATGTAAATCGGGGAAGTTGGGATAGGGTTTTAGCGCTAGGGCCATACGGTCTGCGTCCCCCCTGCCTGTTTATTATTTTTCCTCATTAACTTTACTTCTCCTCCCGAAGGCGGCCCGAGCACAACCACCGAAACCCGGAGCGCCAACCCACCTCCGACGTCTTGAGCGCCCTCGCGACGTCATCCACCAACTCCAACAGGACACGCCCCACCCCCATTCTCCGGCAGTCCGATCGGACTGCGACCTCTGTGAGGTATAACCTGCTCAGTTTTGACGTTGTCGTGAGACACGGACGCCGGTCGGGGGGGCGGGCGTGGGCGTGGGCGGGCGTGGGCGTCAGCGGTTTCGGCGGTGAGAGGAGGAAATTCGATGAGGTGTTGTGGCGTGTTTGGCGAGTCATATTGCCCCGACCAGACACACTCGTGAAAACAGCCGTGGTCATTATCGCCTACTACAGTGCATACCCCTCAACACCAGCCAATTGGTCACAGAGCAGGCACGCGTGCACGTTTTACACCCACAAGTACGGAAGCGAAACAACCGATGCCACTGCCACATTTACGCCTCGCATACCCGCAATACTCATGCAAACACCCTCTTGGACCCAACCCGTGAATCACACCAACCATTCACATCACTGCTTCACCGGAAACAAACCATACAAACGTGCCGGGCAACGACTGACTGCGCGAACACGGCAACAACTAACGCCAACACCCACGAGCAGCAGCAACAAAAACATAACGCAACCAACCTTGCGATTTTTGCGCCCTGTTCTTCGACTTCAACAGCCAGAGGCGTGCCGTCAAACTCGTGCCTGGAGCACTCCAAAGTCCCCAGGACGTGGCCATCGGAAACCGCCGTCTCTAACGGTGCCGCCGCCGCGCTAGCAGCGGGGTCCTCCCCCAACCCTACCCCCCCCCCTTCCCTTTGGCTAGCAGCAGCCCTATCGGACGCCGCCGCCGCCGCCGCCGCCACTCTTGCGGGACCATCCAGGGCGGCGACGAGGCAAAACGCCCCCTTTCGCCTTCTCTCCCTCATGAGCAAGCAGCTCCTCTCTCTAAAGCGGTGCTTGAGGGTCGAGTGCACCGGGGAGAATACATCGAATCTAACGTCTGGATAGAAAACATCAAGAGTGAAGGGGGGGGGGGGGGGGGGGGGGATGAGCTACGTACATATGGGATCCCCCCCAACAAAGGGCGACGGGGTTATTGGGGTCCACAAAAAAGGGTTTTAACCGGG